GCGATCTACTCAACTACTTAATTTCATTTATCCAAATGTAAAATTCACATGTGAATATGAGATGTTGAATGAAATAAGTTTTTCGTTCCTGGATTATAAATGAAATGAAGGTGGATCTATATCAGGTAGGATTTATCATAAGCAACCTTGGACAGATCTGTATTTACCTCTAAAAAGCTTTAATTCTGTTTCACACAAAACAGCTTATAGTAAAACCTTTGTTTTCGCGGGTACTCAGGTTATGCTGCAAAAGAAGTGATCGATGATAAATTGGGGCAAATTCGAAAAATATTCCCCGACAATGTATATTTCGATAAGTTTATTAATAGATATTCCATATCGACTAATGAAAAAGTGGTTGTAACAACTGTACCAAAGTAGAATGTATTCAAATCTTGATGTGACAACTTCTCATATTACTTCCAGTTATATTTATTCATTCACCTGTACCTACAGTAGCATGTACGTTGGAAGAAATGAGAGGCTGCTTACAAAAAAAGAAACTCTGAACAGGTACGAAGAAATTGTCATTTAGTGCTAAAGTGCCTAGCAGTGCCGTCAGTAGACATGTTCTTGATACAGGTCATGTCACCAGTTCCAACACAACTCTTTGAATGATAAATAGACACAATAATAGTAGATTACTACGATATTGAGGAGCAGCATCGGTCCTAATATTGAAGCCTAATTTACACGTACAGAGGAATTTTGTGATCCACTTTGCATTGCCTTGGTGATTTGCTATTTCTTTACTAACTATTTAATCATTTGTCTCAATTTCTTACTATTCTTAAACGTTGTTCACTTTTATGACAGTTTTCATTATCCATTACATTTACCAACAAGGCGATCTTGTTTTTTGGTCTATCCTTCAGCCTCTATCTTACCATATATGTCATATCTTCATCGGCCCTCCCTCCCAGCCTAAATCTTAATCACAATTTGCGAGTACTGTGTTTTGTTTAGAACAAATTAACAGTATGATTTGTCAGCTCTTCAGATCATGAACGGTATAAATTTTTTTTGACTTTGTGCTACTTCTAACGTGATCGATTTTAAATTTCTTAAAGGACAGGTACTCGTCGATAACATTGGATAGTGGCTGCTCTATATCATGGACTAGCCGCTATATCGGGACCCACCGGCCCAATGGGTTCGAACCACCCTGTGGTGGATGCGTACTTCTAAAGAGTCCCACATATGTTTGTAGTATTGTGGCAATAGCCCCTTGGAGGGAATGTCTGTAACTAACATCATTCTCAAGGTTCCTAAAACACCTGCAAATTGTTTTGTTAAGATAAAATTATGGAAAACGGTTTCTTTTTAAACCTAGCTGCATTCAGATTTTTGTACCTTAGTAATTTTTTACAGCTACATTACAGTGTGTGATTTCAGTTGAAACCAATTCTGAAATCTATCAATCAAACCTTGTCTCTTAATAGATAATCGCTTCAAAGAAAGAAACCAAGTTTAAGTCAGCTGGTTGTCTACATTTGAAATAACTCAATTACCTAAAAAGCTGCTTTTATCCCATTTAGATACTTAGATATTCTTTGAAATAGATGATAATACCCTATGAACACACAGATGGTAAGATTTAGCTGAAACGAAACCACACATTTAGATAGAAAAACGGTCAAATATAGGCTTCAAACCATTTATTTCAATATTTATTCTAAAGACAATGGCTGCATTTATTATTTGTGTCGTAAAGTGATGGCTTCAGTAATATGCTTTTAAAACTGTTATGCAAAGTCGTCAGTATTAGTCATATTGGGTAGAACGATGGAATACAGTAGAACTATTACTTTTAAACTATACTGTTCATTTTTACATGCTCACATGAGTGACAGGTTATACTTGGAGTTAAGATAGTGTAAATCCCTGTGGTTACTTACATAAGTCTTTTGGATTAAAAGTCTATGATCACGAAATGAAGCATCATATAGAGGATACAATTTTCTACATGGCTTTTCATAAAGTATCGATAACTATTCGTAATCGCATAGGTAATATGGCCATAGCTTCTTCACAAAATATTTTTTGTTTATTTGTGATTATAAGTAAGTGTTTATTGAAGCAGCACACTGCCGAAATTCTCAAAAATTGAATTGTTGTACACTGTAAATGCGGAGTTATCAAAATAAACAGCCCACTGGCATGGACCTGTTGTTCTGAAGACCTGATTCTAATCATTCTCTATTAGCAAATAAACTTCACTATGTTTATAAAGAAAAATAAGGTCAGTTTCTACACCACGTTTAATGCTTTCGCCCTACAAGGGAGGCCTTCATTTAAAGTAAGTGAGAAAAAGACTGAGTTAATTTTTGAAATAACTTTAATTATTATAGAGGAGATTTTATGAAATGAAAGTGATACTACTACTGAGTACAGTAACTGTGTAACATAAAAGACAGTTTCATTGAATCAAATTATATTATTTTTATCTTCATAAGTAGTGCATAGAAATTCTTATGGAAAATCAATTACATCGATGAAAGTTACCTGAGAAAAACAAACAAAGTATGGTTAAAAATCTTGAGTGTTCAGTATTATCAATATTATCAATGCAATGGGAGAACGCAAAGGGGTATGCAGTTCAATAACGGAGCATTTGGTGAGTTCTGGACATTTAGCTGCATTTAAAAAGTTATTCAAAGCCATTGAAATAATACGATCTAACCTACCGAAAGGAGTGTAATCAAGACATCTAGGAATAGTCGAGCCACTGGCGATCCAAAACCTCAAGCCTATTCTATGTGTTCAGAAGAGATAAATCCAACGGTTTTCCCTACCGTGGCTATCGTGAAAAGTCATCCTCACCAATACTGATTATCTTATTACGTTTCGTGTCCAACCTTCCGGTTCATTTGTTATATTTACTTTTTAAGTCCCTATCTGCGTTATTAGATTTGGTTGCTGTTTTCATTTTTATGTGTCCGAACCTCCTATCCATTTTTATAGCATTATGTTCTCAATCTTAACCGGAAATTATTCTGGAACTTTCACACCCATTTATTATAAATACACGAATGTATGATGATGATGACTCCATCGAAAAGAAAATTTTCTTCTCTGCAACCGTCTTTTTATTAATTCTTATGATCCAATACGTATCTTCCATAATTATTTATCTGTATGCAGTGTACTGACTGACTGAGTTTCAATGTAAAACTCTGCACAGAAGAGCAGCATTTCAAACTGCCACTCTGCATATGGCATGCAGAAATAGAGAATAAGTTGAAAAGAACTATAGTGAAACGATATGTTTATAAAATGGAATAATTACATGGGAAAAATATTAGGCTTTAACGGATATGAGAGATTACAAACAGTTAATGCATCTACGCCAATGAGAAGTATTATGAATCATATCACCAACAGGTTCGTGGCATCTCAAGGACCACAAACAAGTAATCTACACCTTCTTACAGAGCTAAACCTAGCAACAAAATACTTCATGGACGGATTTCACTTCTAACTGTATTATTATTATTGTCATATCCTTTAATTCCTAGAGGAATATAGGGCTTCAGCCGCACGTCTCCATCGCCTTCTGTTTTCTGCCAACTTTTTCACCCTGCTCCAAGTCTGCCCACATGCTTTCATCTCCTCTTCACATGACCTCCTCCAAGTCACCCTTGGACTACCAACTCGCCTCTTTCCTTTCGGGTTCCACTCGAGCAATGGCTTGTCTAGTGATGTCACTTAATGGTTTCCTCATAGTATGGTCGCCAATCCATCTCCATTTCTTCCTGCCTATTTGTTGCACAATCGGTTCGTGGTTGGTTTGCTCATTGCCAGAGATCCCTCCCTGCTACTGATCATTTCTGACCATCTGATCTTGAGTATTGAGCGAATACAGTTGTTAATGAAGTTCTGTAGTTTGTTTGAAACGCTCTGTATAACTCGCCAAGTCTCTGATCCGTATAGTAGCACTGACTGACTTCACATTGGAGTTGAAAATCCGGATGTTATTTTTGATGCTGAGTGGGGCTGTTGACCTCCACACAGACTTGAGAGCAGTGAAAGCTTGTCTTGCTTTTCCGATTCTGGCCTTGATATCCTCATCAATTTCGCCTGTAGCTGAAACAATGCTTCTTAGGTAGGTAGGTAGGTAGGTAGGTAGGTAGGTAGGTAGGTAGGTAGGTAGGTAGGTAGGTAGGTAGGTAGGTAGGTAGGTAGGTAGGTAGGTAGGTAGGTAGGTAGGTAGGTAGGTAGGTAGGTAGGTAGGTAGGTAGGTAGGTAGGTAGGTAGGTAGGTAGGTAGGTAGGTAGGTAGGTAGGTAGGTAGGTAGGTAGGTAGGTAGGTAGGTAGGTAGGTAGGTAGGTAGGTAGGTAGGTAGGTAGGTAGGTAGGTAGGTAGGTAGGTAGGTAGGTAGGTAGTAGGTAGGTAGGTAGGTAGGTAGGTAGGTAGGTAGGTAGGTAGGTAAAGGAGGTTGTTTCTTTCAGGTTCCTCCCATTTATGCTGGCTGATTGTTGTCTGTTGTTGTTGCTGTGGCTGTTGGTGTTGCCCAGAAATCTTCATCACCTCTGTTTTCTCTATGTTCACATGAAGTCCTATCTTTGATGCTTTTTCTGCCCACTTTTTGCTTTCTAAGTGTATTCTATTTTAATTCTATATCAGCTTATATTGCTTGACGAGGAGTACATGCAGAATATTTCTTCATGATCTGGATAATTTTCATTGAGTAAACAAGACTTGACGTTAGTTGAGCTTTTCTGAGCTTCATTATTACTAGGAGTCTAGATAACCTTACTATCTCAATGGAAATTTACATCTCCACCGCACTAATTAAAGTAATATGTAATTCATTTATATCTACATTTAATTGTGGTGCTTACAGCTTCTTGATATCCCCTCTTAATCAAATAGATTAACTGCTTTCGTGCTGTTAACATTGTAAATAAAATTAGTATTAAAGGCGTTAGTGAAGTAATAAAAGGGGATTACTTTGATAACTTACAAAAACTTCTTGTTTATATATCGATTTTTAACAGTTAGCTTGCGAAAATGCAGAGTTTCTGAAATAAATATTTGAGAAAGGTTTCATCTAATGAGTTTTTTCCATTCATATTTGATTAGCTCAAAGCATGACATGGTAATGTCTTAGAAAAGGTGAATAAATCTTTCTGAGACATAAAAAGTTTAAAGTGAACTTCTGTATTCCATAGTTGCTTAAACATACAGTGACCGTTAATCGAAGAAATGTTCAGCAGTTCTCTATACCTTTATTGCTGTGTGAACAGTTCTGATCAAATAAAACTGAAGTGGGTCTTGTATCTTACTTTCGAAAATATGCGTCAGTATAAATTGTGAGAAGTCGTTAACAATTCATTCGCTTGCTATGCCCTCTTGTATCACATTCTTATTTCTCTTTCGAAACTTTTAATTTTAGCACTTAAATGATATGAAACAAAGTAGTATATCCTGTCGTTTAAGAGATTTCGCCCCCTATAGTTTTCAGCTGTACATGCTTTTATAAATGTTCTGTTCATACAGTCTAACAATTATTCAAAATCTCATCCATATTCTCATATCTCATGCTGAAACATTAGTCCATATTAAATACTTCTCTTTGAATAGAAAAAAAATCACCTCATAGTTCTCTTGCATCATTGGTTCAGGGGTAGAACGCTCGCTCACCAGATATGTGGTCCGGGGTTCAATCCTCAGCTAACGCACCCTGAAACATTACTAGGCTGGTAGTAGGCCAGTTAAAGCTGGAAGGTTGGGCATGAGGCTAGCAACCCAATCCCATAAAAGCGGCACCACTGCTACCGAAACCTCAAAGCTCTAACTTGAAGCACTTTGTCCCACTAGGAATGTAAAGGAATGGAATTTTAAAAAATTGAAATAATTCTCTTACTGGCTTATTCTCCACAAGTTTGATCCACGCTTAACATTTTATGTTGCTTTATTCAGTGGAACATATATCGGAGAGACAGCTATTTCACTCAGTAACTACATGATTAGCAGTGGAATTTCATTTGAATCACAGTTTTAATTTTTAAAATGAAATCTCACGGATGAGTCAGAGTATAGAACATTTGAAAATAAAGCAACACATTATACACAATTAAGTAGTAAAATATATTTCAACAAATAACAGTTTAACTTACACCGCACGTCTGATCTACTCTGTTATTTTGAAAATATTGTCTAAAGTCATCATAATACCCTTTAAGTACGTGATTACACTGAAATTAAAATGAAAGCAAAGCTGAAAATGATTAACAGGTAAGGTACACGAATACCGACGATACACATATGTGATAAATTCAATTCATTAAATCATCTTTCTAAAACACTCTAAAACCATTGGTAGTCTGTTGTCGCTAATAAATGCATTACCCTAGGGTATTTAAAACATTCTTATGACATTCAACAATAAATCTATCTATCTAAGCAATATATCTATTTAAAACCTGGTTCCTTCAGCATCAAAATATTCCAGTTGTTCATAAGCCTAGATGTAAATCTCTGTCTATTCTCAGAATAATAATTTGCATATTTTTGTCTAATAAATTCCTCAATAATTACCTGGATAGCAATAGGCTTTCAGATTTCTGTCTTTTTAGATATTCTGTAGAAATATAACGGGTAAGACGTAGTAAGACTGCACGACAAGTGAATACTGGTATCAGATTATAGGATATATGTCAATACAATATATACATATATATAAATCTTAAGCAAGCCATCTCATTCACCTATCCTGGCTACATCGTTTCAGCTACGGGTGGCACGGATAACGATGTCAAAACCAGAAATAAGACAGACCTTTATTACTCTAAAGTCAATGTAGAAATCTACTACACCTAATGTAGGGAACGAGACCCGAATTTTCTACATTAATTTCAAGTCAGTGTTTCGATACAGTTCAACAGCTTGGGAAGTACGTCACCGAAAGCTTTTCCAACAGACTTCGGAATTTTGTCAACAGCTGCCTTCGCTAACTCGACTGTGAAGATTAGTTGTTTTGCGGACAAAAACAAACAGCAAATAACTTCAGTAACAAATCAATTAAGAAGCTGTTTTCCGACAAATATGCAAAAGAATATGTAGAAGATTGGTGAGAGAAATCAGGCGTCAAGGCCTTGAATGAAACCTGGATGAGAAGTGGAGAGTTCAATCTTGGCCTGAGAATGATATGGAGAGAATCATGTGAGGAGGATATGAAAGTTTACGAGCAGTCTTCGAGTCAGCTAAAAAGGTTACAGAAACCTGAGTGAAATAGAGATGTGCTTCTGAAGCTTATTTGTTCCACTCGGAACCCAAGGGAATAATAATATTAATAAATTCATTAGAAAATTAGTCAGGAAAATGTGTATTAAGAAATATTTATCCATTGAAGGTTATAAGCTTTAATGAACTCTGTTTCATTTCTTTTCTATAGTAAGGCATTACAGACATCATAGACATTGGTTTTGTGCAAAGTATATCACGTTCTTGTCATGCAATGGGTGTTTTCGATAGTGATTTACAGTCATTCACTATATTTCCCTGTCAGTCTCATGGGGCAATAAGAATTAAGTACAAAATGATGAGTGGTTTTCAGATGGGTCTTTTTGTTCTACGAGTTTCGCAAAATTTAATACAAGTGCTAAATGTGTTCAAACTCAAAGCAGTAGATACATTTTTAGTTGATACCTGCCAGTAGTTTGGTAAGTTAGGCTCTTTACTTAGTACACGTCGATAAGATACACAAGCATACACTTTATGATATTGTTTTTTTTTTTCAAGAATGAAGATACTCCTTTTAATAATTTTGAGTAAGAAATCACTGTTTAATAAATTGCTGATGTTTACCTTCAGTGACACTAGGTGTTTAGGAAACGTCTGTATTGACACAAGCAAACCTAAGCCTAGTTACATCGACTTGAATCGATTTCACAAGACAGTCATGAATTTCGGTGCATAATCCATATTGATAGATGAAAAGATATAATTTCCTGTAGTAAAATAGTAACTGATTATTTATAAATTGGAAGGAGTAGTCGCGTCTTTCCTTTGAGGGTGACGGAACATATACCTAAATGGCTTGGACTGTGAAACCTTCATTAATGCAGACTATCAGTCATATTTATTATAAAGTGCTTGGCAAATATGAATAACAAGAGTGATTTCAGAACAGCCTTCAAGATTATTTATAAAAACGTCGTCACTGGTTTTCACCTCAGCGTAATTCACTATACACTGAAGTAAATTCCGCCTTCTAATACCACCCTATCAGAATTTAATATATCTTGCAATACTTCAATATTGATAAATTTTTTTCCTTCACATTCCTCAGTGGAACATAGGGCTTCAAGCTAGAAGCTTGAAGTTTCTGTAGCAGTGTTTATTTTACAGGATGGGGATGCTAACCTCATGCCCAACCTTTCCCCTTTACGAGTATTTCTTCTGGCTGAGCGAGGTAAAGGAATGAGTCGGCCTGTGATCGAACCCCGGACCATGTGCATGGTCGGTGAGCGTCCTAAACACTATGCCACCGACGCATAGCACCTAATAATAACAAATTACTTCCTCAAAACTTGAGCTTCGTCAGGCTTTAGCTATACTTCACAAATGTTGCTAGAATGTATGTATTAAAATAATTTTAATCTAATTATTGAACATACCTTATTTTCATCTTCGGCAAAAAGTAAACACATTTGTTTAATTGTGAACATTGCATTTTTAGTTTGTTGTTTATCACTTAACCAGCTTTGAAGTAACATATAAACATATTTACATTCTTCACAGAATATGTTGTCACCTGAAATAAACGTGATATTAAGAACAACAGGTTAAACGAGAAGAATTTTTATTTCATGGTTTGATTCACACTGTTCATTGATTTGCTTTAGTGAGTCGGTGACAAAACAGGAGAATCTTCGCCAACCTCATAAGGTGGTCCGGGGCTCGAACACTGGCCAAAGCACTCCTTTACTTCGCTATGTCAGTATTAAGACTGGTAAGGAGGAAAGGTTGGGCATGAGGTTAGCGACCCCGTCCCGTAAAAATAAACACCATTGCTACCGAAACTTCAGCCCTATAGCCTGAAGACCTACGTTCTACTGGAAACATAATGGAATAAAATAATAATAACAATAGTTTTGCTTTATTTGTCATACCATGTTTTATGTTTTAAACAATACTCGTTATAATTTGATGATAACCCTAGATAAACCAGTCAGCTGATATACATCTTTTCATTAAAACCAAGAGTAAGCATATGGACATGGAAAATCTGCACCATGTTTGCCTGACGGAGCTGTTCGATGTTTTGCTGAATGGAGGTAGAATATACTAGTGTAGGGATATACTCATGACGACACATGACGAACCGAAAGTCATCTGGGATTCATATTCAACTCAAGAATGTGGGGATACAGCTTACTGTACACATGATTGAGAAGGGGGGAATATGTGGGTTTGGACTTTTGTTTAAAGTGAGAAACTTTCCAGATCAAGCTGAAAGCATTGGAGACTGATCATAGTTTAAGTTCACTACTTAGAAGTGGAAGGACGACGATACAGAGGTCGATTTCCTGCAGTCCCAAAAAATAGTTTGAAGAATCATGCAGCATCACTGGGGAGAACTGAACTGAAAAACACGGAAACTCTGGGATAGCGACGTGAAAGGAAACGTATAAAATGAAAACAGGTAAGAATGATAATGGCCAATTGCAGACACGTGTAACCAGATGGAAGAACAACGAAAGGAGAAGCTGACAGTTATCATGATCTCAGTGAAAAAAATGAGTGGAGCATAACTCTCATAAAAACCAAAATATGCTTTTACGAAACACTGTCGACTAAAGAAGAAACAATACAAGGATAGAGAGACTTGACAACACTACATCAAATAACTCAACACCAGTCAACACAGTGAGAGATGAAAGAGGACATCCCACGACACTACTCAGGAAGCTGTGGAAGGAAAGACACCTACGAATTGAGAGGGAAGCTATATTGTCAAACTGGAAAAGAGAATTGATTTAAGTCGAATGCAAGAATCGATGAGGGATCTTAAAACTGGCCACTCCAAATAAATTACTAAAGGATATCATACTGAAAAGATTTTTAGATGTTCTGGATTGAATAATTTGTCCACAACACGTTGATATCATGAAAAAAATAATTCATGAGCTGATGGAAATGCAGTGCTGTGCATCATTATTGAAAAAATTATATAGTGATACTCAGCAGCCTACAACGCAGTTCATGGATATCGAAAATGGAATAAAAGAACTGGGTCACAAACCACATTGGTAGCTGCCTCAAAATTGTTCACTCCAGAATGACAAACCTAAATCAACATTTATACAACATTATCGCACACCAAGTAACCTACAATGAGCATCAACAACAACACCACAGTGATAGAAACGGAGAAGGATATAAAGAAAGCCTGTCTACGAACACCCATATTCTACCTAACTGTAGTGGTCCGACTCATTATCATATCATAAACACAAATCATATCATGTTCACAGGAAAACATGAGGCAGTCTACCCCAACCCTCCGCCCACCATCTTTTGAAGTCTAGATATTCTTAGTACAATTATCATCATTTCTAATACTAACATACCCACTTAAATAACACAAGTTTGCGATTTACACAAAAATAGAAACAAAGGTCAACTAACATGATTCACTAAAAACTGATCTGAGATTTGAGTGATAAAAAATGGATTATAAGTATAAAACTTGGGCACTGTGGTAGAGTATAATTCCATTATAGATAAGATTTTATTTTGATAAATCGCATATAACTGTAAACACTGTGTGATTTATCAAAATAAAATCTTATCTATAATGGAAAAATGGATTATTTGTTTCACAAGTTTATGTACTTTGATAAGATAATAAATAACAAATAAATCAAAAGGTTGATTCTCTCTTTACTATTTAAACATTTCAAAGGAGACTCTCAAAGTTGTACTCATGGACTTTGCACGTTCATAAACAATATAACATTAATTAAATGAGATAATATAATTTTGAAGAAAATCTTTCAGAGGAGATTGAAGTATTTCAACAGGGTGTACTTCTATCTGATGTCGAAAAGCGTTAAATAAATCATGTAGCATAAAAATTAAACTCTTTGATTTTCAATTGCTATTGAAGTAATTTCCGTTCAAAATAGTGTCTACTAGAAAGGAAAGAGAGCATTTTATTCAGGCGTTACAATTAGTCGTTTGATCAAGTATTTCACTGAATGAAATAGTAATAAAACTATTTACTAGGTGATATTTCGAGTATCACACATTGCTTTAACTACAACTCTGTCGTCATAATATTTGTAGTCTATGGCTCCTTGATTATGAGGTGTTGAGTGGCAATATAAGAGAATTATCTCAAATATAGTTCTAATTTGTTTTCACAAGGTTGACCGGGGTTATTTAAAAATGTGTGGTGTTATACGACTACAGAGAAGTCACTTATATTAGGCAGGTGAATTCATCTGTATCACTAAAATGTGGTAAGATACCAAAACTGTATGAACTAAAGAAAAATCATTAACCATCTAGAAATTCAAACAATATTTTACTTGAATTCAGTAGGTCACAATGTCAAATGATACAAATTTTATTTCTAATCATGGGAAAATATCACATTGTTGCACTGGATAGTATTATTTTGTTGATATTCGCCAACAGAATGTATTTTTAGCCATGAAGAAACCAAATGAATTCTAAGGAATTTCACACCATCAATACTACACGTGAACATCAGCTAAAGATGAACACAGTGTATCAAACATATCTAGAAAAATTAAGAAGCTTCCAAAATTTCATCACGAGGTTATTTAGGGCTGAAGACGATGTTCACAGGAAGAATAGTAGATTTGAACACTTAGATGTGCGTATCTACCTATTTTCAATTAATTGATTTAGCTCTGAAAACATATTAAAACCAGAAACAACAATCTGAGCTAAAAAAATATTTTTCAGCATTTCCTAGTGACCGAAATGAATTTTGAATTTCATAAGAGCATTTGTTTTTTACAAAAATGAAAATAAATTGCGTAAATATAGATACAAAGAAACACTAGGTAGCACCAAACAGACAGTGGGATTATTCCCACAGAAACTAACAGTTGGAAGGACACATTTTTGAGGAAATAACCGAAAAACGTGTAAATGGCAAACAGATAAATAAAAATATTCATTCACTTCAATCAGTTTCACCATGCAAACGTTTATTAAAACAAAACATACCAAGGAGTCGTGGTTTGAACACAACCGACTGAGCCGAATCGCAAGCTTCAAGCATCTAAAATAACAAACAAAGAAGTCATGTGCATGTGGAAGTAGGTTCGTAGAGGCACGTGAGAAACACTACCAATAAACTAGTGTTCATCTAAGTTAGTTTAAACAAAATGATCAGAAAATGAAATAGACTAGATGGACAAAATATTTAAACGCATTCTGAAACGTAAATAATCACCCGACCAACGAGAAAAGCAAAAATAACGTCTGAATAACAACAACACAACAAGTGACAGAAATGCGTATTACTGATATCAGTCTCACAAAATTCCGTCTGAGATGTGATCAACATTCGGATATAGAACATAAACAGACAACAATTCCACGCACAGAAAGCGGAACATCTCTGAAGCGTCTCCCACTGCTCACCTTACAAATGAAGTGAGGTTGGATTGCAAGAGCCATCGCCTTCAACGCGTGTGGAAAATACACATCGACGTAAGTTAGGCACTAAAGCACAAAACAAAAGAAACAATAAATTGTAAGTGAGAGTGAGATAAAATCATCAGTCAGAAAAGATAAAAATTAGTGTAGGCTAAATTCCCTGGTAGTATTACAACATTAGACATTCTTATCACGTCAACGTGTTCGCCAGTCAAGTAATCATCAGGCGACACAGTTTTCAAAACAACAACAAATACAGTTGTGTGATTCCCTCAGATATGCAAATCACACCAGCATACAACTGTATAACAAAAACCACAGTCACATCATATATATCAGTAGAGTGAAGTAAGGAGGACGGAAATCTGAGTCCCTCTCACTCCTCTCAGTAAATGATGTGGCTCTCCTTGTACAATTTACACAACATTCACACATTCCTTCACAGAATTACAATATCCACCACAAAATTATATTCAACAAGAAAAAAATCAGGAATCCTCCCACAATCTCAAACTCAAACTGAAAACGACAACCACACAATCATAGAATTATCACACACAAAAAGGCATATCACACAGAAAACACACAAATCAAAATCATGTGTTGATAACAAAACACTACTTACAGTGTTCCGGAAATTTCCAGGAGGAAGTGTTTGACACAGCTGTTTGCCCATTATGATGTATGTATCTACCCAATACTTATCAGTTATGATGTAGTACACTAAATCCATGCCTGCCATGCACGCATCACATTCCGCTGAAAACAATGAATACAAATTACAATAATTCACACGTCTAGGAAAAACCAAAATGCATTACAGCAAACTGTGTACACACGTTGGGTAGACAGTGAAAATCTCATTCAGACAGAGTCCACTCCACTGAAGAACAAAAAACACCCTCACAAGCGTATCAGCACAAACAGCTGAGGGATAGAAATCAACCAGGCAACAAAGACCGCAATCTGATGAGCCTTGTGCCACAAACAACTGTGGGATGAAAATAAGGATGATAAACCGATCAGCACCGCTCTGCTTACACCCGAACACTGAGTGCAGCCTTCAATCTTGACTCTGTATTCTCAACACAATTCATCCTGTGCAGTGTTATTCGGAAGCAAAACGTTGCATTAATCTTCCACCTTCCGCCTGTCTGATGTTACATGCGAACTCATGAATATCTCGATGATGGGAATTATTCGATAGCTGAATCACATCAAAAAACTACTCGAACGACTATGACAGACAGTCATACACACTGAACTATCACCAATCTCATATTATCACACAAAAGAGGAAATGTAGATATTAAGCAAGAGCACAGATCACACCATAAGAATGTGGATGTCAACATCTAGGAAGAGAGAAATAAAAGAGCATTCCACGAACCTCTATCGGTCCGAACAACTGGTTACACATTCCCCAAAACACATTCGTTGATTACTCAAAAAGCAGTGCATAAGATAAGCTGAGAATATTTAATTTAGATGCTCAAGAAAAATTCTAATACGTTGACTGAAGAACACACAATATTAGTTTCAATAAACTCTTCAAATATGCACTCCCCTAGAAAACATTATGTTAGGCATTTTTCTAGGAACTTGATTTTCCGTGTTCACGAACATCTACAAGTGTGACTCAGTAAAGCTGTAGCATAGCAAAACCATCAACAATTCCATCAACATCACACCACCTGGTGTGAACACGTCATACACCTCGTTTTGAGCCGTCTTTTCAATCACGTAACAAGCACTAAGTAAATAGCAGATAATATCTTGACACTGAATACTCCAATCACCAGAAGAAATTACAATTCCCCTAAAACAACTGGAACTCTGACCGAATAGGAAATGTGTTCACGCACCATGACCAACGTCATCAGCTCTACAACCTACACATTCATCAATTCCATATTCTATTTCCTAATTTATCCAACATTCAGTTTGGTGTGATATTCATGCACATCATCACTCACAAATGACTTGGAACTGTTAACTACTCATACTAATAGCTTGATAATTTTTAGAAAATAAGCGTTTCCAGTATCATTATCTCCTCAAGTTTTACGGTATATATTTATATATATACATATAAAGAGAACTTCATGTAGTCATCGAGATACGTCTTATCCCCTAACTTATCAGCTTTCCAAGTACAGTCTCAGAACTGTGATAATCAACAAAGTTAAAGTCTGTATAGGTTAGATCATTTATCGAGACAAAATCTGCACCATCAGTCGAGTTGAGCCGACTGTACAGAAATTCAACACACTTCGAAACTTCTATAGGAAATAGGGTGCAACAGAAACATTCTGACAATCACAATATTTGCTTGAAACACGTCCACTTCTACTTCCGAATGATCGATGATGGGTGCATGAATACCACACCCGTCCACCCACTGAAACATCAATAAATATCAGACACAAAGCAATGAATAAAAGAGGAGATGATTCACAATTCTCATCCTCAAAAGCATTCACCAGAGCATTTCACACTCATTTGGTGTTCACAATAACTGGACAACAGACAAAAACACAAAATTAACTACAAAATTCACTGTGAGAGACATTCCGTCAGAAAACTTGCGTAGTATTCGATACAATCAGAAATAACATACCGACAGTTGAATTCTGGTCATCGTCTTTCTGTGGAATCAGAAAATTTCAAAAATTAATTAGTGTGATAAAAAACCACGGTAATAATAATTCATAAGCCATGAGAATCTCTTTTTCCCTCCTTTAATATGCCAAACGTTTCTTGATTTCCAAAAATGTATATTTAGCGACACTATACAGATATATGTTTATTTGTTTTGTGGACATTCTCAGATAAATTCACTTGATGAAACTTTCTCTGACTAATCGAATCGTCTTTCATTTGGCGTCACGTTGGTGAACTTTTCATTTTCGAATTAAATCAACACCAAGTCAAGCAATTTCAAGCATAAGGACAATGAGGGGGACATTCAAATTTATGGAACATACAGCCACATTAGGTGTTTATTAGATATTCGGTTTTTTATCATATTCGGAAGTTATAATTTAATAGTGATTACTAAGAAAAATTCAAGACAATTTGTTGCTAAAATGACAACACACTTCTTAAATAAATGTCCATCCATTTCATGGGCGTAAAATCGTCAGACATTACAATTCAATATGCGGCTGTCGAGTTTTGTAGTGGTATCAGTATGAGTGCCCATCATATATCGTCTCTATGGCATTATCTAGTAAACATGATAGTAACATGATATGATACTCTCAACAAGCAAGCATCTCCTACGACATTTTTCGATTTCGTTCATTGCAATTTTTATGAGGAAGAATTTAGTTCGTTATCCTACAGTGAAGGGAGCCAGTGTGTTTACACAGTGTTCCTCAACTGTGAAGATTAATTTAGAAAATGGAATGTAGTAGTATTCACCGTGATACAAGTCTCACATACCATGAGCCAGTCTCCACTCATTAATTCATTCATTTTAGGAGGGAAATACATCAGCCGACTGTGCAATAAGAAGAAATAGTTAACTACAGTGGCTTCGTTAAACATAGTCGTTGACTGCTGTACACTAATTATCAATTGAAATGACTTTGTCTTCCGATGAAATCACAAATGTCGTTATCAAATTTACAGTTTTTCTGTTCAGCGAAGAAATTTATTTTCAACGACTTCATTTTCAAGCTGTACAGTCGTAGTTATATTACAGAAAAAGGTTATTAAGTGGCACTAAATAATTGCTCAGTCAATACACACATATATATATATATGATAAGAATAACGATAATTAAAATGTTATAAGGGGTGGAGTTGAAGTGTACAGCTTGAAAATGAATTCGGTGAAAAGAAATTTCCTCTCTGAACAAACAACCGTGGGTTTACTTATGAATAAATGGATATTTTTCGTGATTATCAAATTCAATGAATTAATACAACGTCATGAAAAATATGTATCAGGATAACGGTAAAGATTTCTGTCAGTCAACTGTTGATGTGACAATAAAAATATGTGACAGCATGTGTACAGATTATTGCTACTGTACAAAAATTTAATGCTAGTTGATAGATCACCAAAGCAACGTTTCTGTTTTGTGCTTTTATGGGCGATATACAGAGCTTAACACTGGCTATAAGAGGTGCACTGGTTAGTACTTCTACAATCTAAATCAAAATAGAATAGATGTATTCCAAGCGAACCTGCATTCCTGGTATACTCGCTTCATTCATTAAATCTACCAACAGATTCAATGTTTCGTCTCTCTGAACCAGAAGAACGACACATTATAAGTTAAGACTACAGGGTTGTCACCATTGTGAATCGAAATGGTTGGATTAATTCGAGTATGTGACGACTATTGCTACAATCATAAAATCACGTAATGAAGAAGAAAATTTTGAAATGCCTTTACACAATTAATAAACATGACTTCAAACACCTTCAAGTGATGAAACTTACGAGACCGTGTACCACTGGTGATGCCATAGCATCTTTTACAGCGAACGAAAGAAGTGAAGCCAGGAAAATGATAACTGGGACCAACATTTTATTTGATTCGTCAAAATATTTGTGCAATTGGCGTATTAATATTTCTTTGAAGTGTGCCGTAGCGTTTTTATTAATGCGACATATATATTTATATAGTAGCTACTGGAATGTGGACTTTGCTCAGCAAATCATTTTATTAATTTGAATTTAATACTTGAGACCTTGCGCACCAATTTTAAAGTAATTTTTTAAAAGATTATATATATATATATGTGGCATTCATTTAAACTCGAACGTATCCTTTAAAGCGATATTCTCAGAAAATTTGGTACAGTTGACAAGAATGTTCCTCCCATCTATTATTCTCCTGGCTTCACTTCTTTCCTTCGCTGTAAAAGATGCTATGGCATCACCAGTGGTACACGGTCTCGTAAGTTTCTTCATTTGAAGGTGTTTGAAGTCATGTTTAATAATTGTGTAAAGGCATTTCAAAATTTTCTTCTTCATTAAGTGATTTTATGATTGTAGCAATAGTCGTCACATACTCGAATTAATCCAACCATTTCGATTCACAATGGTGACAACCCTGTAGTTTTAACTTATAATGTGTCGTTCTTCTGGTTCAGAGAGACGAAACATTGAATCTGTTGGTAGATTTAATGAATAAAGCGAGTATACCAGGAATGCAGGTTCGCTTGGAATACATCTATTCTATTTTGATTTAGATTGTAGAAGTACTGACCAGTGCACCTCTTACAGCCAGTGTTAAGCTCTGTATATCGCCCATAAAAGCACAAAACAGAAACGTTGCTTTGGTGATCTATCAACTAGCATTAAATTTTTGTACAGTAGCAATAATCTGTACACATGCTGTCACATATTTTTATTGTCACATCAACAGTTGACTGACAGAAATCTTTACCGTTATCCTGATACATATTTTTCATGACGTTGTATTAATTCATTGAATTTGATAATCACGAAAAATATCCATTTATTCATAAGTAAACCACGGTTGTTTGTTCAGAGAGGAAATTTCTTTTCACCGAATTCATTTTCAAGCTGTACACTTCAACTCCACCCCTTATAACATTTTAATTATCGTTATTCTTATCATATATATATATATGTGTGTATTGACTGAGCAATTATTTAGTGCCACTTAATAACCTTTTTCTGTAATATAACTACGACTGTACAGCTTGAAAATGAAGTCGTTGAAAATAAATTTCTTCGCTGAACAGAAAAACTGTAAATTTGATAACGACATTTGTGATTTCATCGGAAGACAAAGTCATTTCAATTGATAATTAGTGTACAGCAGTCAACGACTATGTTTAACGAAGCCACTGTAGTTAACTATTTCTTCTTATTGCACAGTCGGCTGATGTATTTCCCTCCTAAAATGAATGAATTAATGAGTGGAGACTGGCTCATGGTATGTGAGACTTGTATCACGGTGAATACTACTACATTCCATTTTCTAAATTAATCTTCACAGTTGAGGAACACTGTGTAAACACACTGGCTCCCTTCACTGTAGGATAACGAACTAAATTCTTCCTCATAAAAATTGCAATGAACGAAATCGAAAAATGTCGTAGGAGATGCTTGCTTGTTGAGAGTATCATATCATGTTACTATCATGTTTACTAGATAATGCCATAGAGACGATATATGATGGGCACTCATACTGATACCACTACAAAACTCGACAGCCGCATATTGAATTGTAATGTCTGACGATTTTACGCCCATGAAATGGATGGACATTTATTTAAGAAGTGTGTTGTCATTTTAGCAACAAATTGTCTTGAATTTTTCTTAGTAATCACTATTAAATTATAACTTCCGAATATGATAAAAAACCGAATATCTAATAAACACCTAATGTGGCTGTATGTTCCATAAATTTGAATGTCCCCCTCATTGTCCTTATGCTTGAAATTGCTTGACTTGGTGTTGATTTAATTCGAAAATGAAAAGTTCACCAACGTGACGCCAAATGAAAGACGATTCGATTAGTCAGAGAAAGTTTCATCAAGTGAATTTATCTGAGAATGTCCACAAAACAAATAAACATATATCTGTATAGTGTCGCTAAATATACATTTTTGGAAATCAAGAAACGTTTGGCATATTAAAGGAGGGAAAAAGAGATTCTCATGGCTTATGAATTATTATTACCGTGGTTTTTTATCACACTAATTAATTTTTGAAATTTTCTGATTCCACAGAAAGACGATGACCAGAATTCAACTGTCGGTATGTTATTTCTGATTGTATCGAATACTACGCAAGTTTTCTGACGGAATGTCTCTCACAGTGAATTTTGTAGTTAATTTTGTGTTTTTGTCTGTTGTCCAGTTATTGTGAACACCAAATGAGTGTGAAATGCTCTGGTGAATGCTTTTGAGGATGAGAATTGTGAATCATCTCCTCTTTTATTCATTGCTTTGTGTCTGATATTTATTGATGTTTCAGTGGGTGGACGGGTGTGGTATTCATGCACCCATCATCGATCATTCGGAAGTAGAAGTGGACGTGTTTCAAGCAAATATTGTGATTGTCAGAATGTTTCTGTTGCACCCTATTTCCTATAGAAGTTTCGAAGTGTGTTGAATTTCTGTACAGTCGGCTCAACTCGACTGATGGTGCAGATTTTGTCTCGATAAATGATCTAACCTATACAGACTTTAACTTTGTTGATTATCACAGTTCTGAGACTGTACTTGGAAAGCTGATAAGTTAGGGGATAAGACGTATCTCGATGACTACATGAAGTTCTCTTTATATGTATATATATAAATATATACCGTAAAACTTGAGGAGATAATGATACTGGAAACGCTTATTTTCTAAAAATTATCAAGCTATTAGTATGAGTAGTTAACAGTTCCAAGTCATTTGTGAGTGATGATGTGCATGAATATCACACCAAACTGAATGTTGGATAAATTAGGAAATAGAATATGGAATTGATGAATGTGTAGGTTGTAGAGCTGATGACGTTGGTCATGGTGCGTGAACACATTTCCTATTCGGTCAGAGTTCCAGTTGTTTTAGGGGAATTGTAATTTCTTCTGGTGATTGGAGTATTCAGTGTCAAGATATTATCTGCTATTTACTTAGTGCTTGTTACGTGATTGAAAAGACGGCTCAAAACGAGGTGTATGACGTGTTCACACCAGGTGGTGTGATGTTGATGGAATTGTTGATGGTTTTGCTATGCTACAGCTTTACTGAGTCACACTTGTAGATGTTCGTGAACACGGAAAATCAAGTTCCTAGAAAAATGCCTAACATAATGTTTTCTAGGGGAGTGCATATTTGAAGAGTTTATTGAAACTAATATTGTGTGTTCTTCAGTCAACGTATTAGAATTTTTCTTGAGCATCTAAATTAAATATTCTCAGCTTATCTTATGCACTGCTTTTTGAGTAATCAACGAATGTGTTTTGGGGAATGTGTAACCAGTTGTTCGGACCGATAGAGGTTCGTGGAATGCTCTTTTATTTCTCTCTTCCTAGATGTTGACATCCACATTCTTATGGTGTGATCTGTGCTCTTGCTTAATATCTACATTTCCTCTTTTGTGTGATAATATGAGATTGGTGATAGTTCAGTGTGTATGACTGTCTGTCATAGTCGTTCGAGTAGTTTTTTGATGTGATTCAGCTATCGAATAATTCCCATCATCGAGATATTCATGAGTTCGCATGTAACATCAGACAGGCGGAAGGTGGAAGATTAATGCAACGTTTTGCTTCCGAATAACACTGCACAGGATGAATTGTGTTGAGAATACAGAGTCAAGATTGAAGGCTGCACTCAGTGTTCGGGTGTAAGCAGAGCGGTGCTGATCGGTTTATCATCCTTATTTTCATCCCACAGTTGTTTGTGGCACAAGGCTCATCAGATTGCGGTCTTTGTTGCCTGGTTGATTTCTATCCCTCAGCTGTTTGTGCTGATACGCTTGTGAGGGTGTTTTTTGTTCTTCAGTGGAGTGGACTCTGTCTGAATGAGATTTTCACTGTCTACCCAACGTGTGTACACAGTTTGCTGTAATGCATTTTGGTTTTTCCTAGACGTGTGAATTATTGTAATTTGTATTCATTGTTTTCAGCGGAATGTGATGCGTGCATGGCAGGCATGGATTTAGTGTACTACATCATAACTGATAAGTATTGGGTAGATACATACATCATAATGGGCAAACAGCTGTGTCAAACACTTCCTCCTGGAAATTTCCGGAACACTGTAAGTAGTGTTTTGTTATCAACACATGATTTTGATTTGTGTGTTTTCTGTGTGATATGCCTTTTTGTGTGTGATAATTCTATGATTGTGTGGTTGTCGTTTTCAGTTTGAGTTTGAGATTGTGGGAGGATTCCTGATTTTTTCTTGTTGAATATAATTTTGTGGTGGATATTGTAATTCTGTGAAGGAATGTGTGAATGTTGTGTAAATTGTACAAGGAGAGCCACATCATTTACTGAGAGGAGTGAGAGGGACTCAGATTTCCGTCCTCCTTACTTCACTCTACTGATATATATGATGTGACTGTGGTTTTTGTTATACAGTTGTATGCTGGTGTGATTTGCATATCTGAGGGAATCACACAACTGTATTTGTTGTTGTTTTGAAAACTGTGTCGCCTGATGATTACTTGACTGGCGAACACGTTGACGTGATAAGAATGTCTAATGTTGTAATACTACCAGGGAATTTAGCCTACACTAATTTTTATCTTTTCTGACTGATGATTTTATCTCACTCTCACTTACAATTTATTGTTTCTTTTGTTTTGTGCTTTAGTGCCTAACTTACGTCGATGTGTATTTTCCACACGCGTTGAAGGCGATGGCTCTTGCAATCCAACCTCACTTCATTTGTAAGGTGAGCATTTTAATACACTTGAAGTGATGTTTCGCTTTGTATGCATGCAATTTGTATCTGTTTGTGTTTTATATCTGAATTTTGACCACGTCTCTATTGTGATTTTTTTAGTTTGATTTGTGGTGATTTTGATATGCGGATGATTTCATCTCACCCTTCCTTTGTTTTTGAAGGGAGAATTCATTTTCTTTGCTGGTTTTTTGATTAATTATTGGTGATACAGAATGTTTTTTATTATTTTCTCCATCTGGTCTCCAATAATTTCTAATAATTTTGTTCAAGGCTTCTTATATTATCACGAGTTTATTTCGTTGTATTTGCTGCGTGCTGTTAGGCGCGCACTTCCGCATGCACATGACTTCGTTATTTATTTGTCTGTTTGTTTGTAGGCAATTGAAGCTTGCAATTCAACTATGATTCTTGAGGGCAAACCTCGACACCTTGGTAAGTATTGCTTTAATAAACCTGTGCATGGTGAATTTGAGTGGAATGAATGCTTTTATTTTAGGATTTGAGTGTTACGGTTAATTTGTCTTTTTACTCATTATTGTGTCTTTTTCGCTGTTAGTTTCCCGTTAATTTATGCCACTGTTAAACAGTTGCTACCTAATCTTTCTTTAAATCTATATTTGTGCATTTTCCTTTCATCTTTGGAAAAAACAAATGCTCTTACGAAATTCACTTTGGTCAGTAGGAAATCCCGAGAAATATTTTTTTAGCTCAGATGGTTGTTTCCGGTTTTAATTCGTTTTCAGATCTAAATCAATCAATTAAAACTATTTCTTTGTTCATTCGGACAACATCTAACATCATTCAGCGAAGAAAACTCTCTTTATCGACGAAATCTTCTTCAGAGACTGTACAGTCGTATTTATATTTACCAAAAATGTATTGTAGTCTATTACTGAGTAATACAGGCTGACGTATTTGATAGAATTACTCAGAAGTGCCTTTAGAGGTAAAAAAATAAAAGTTGTAAATTACACAGTACTCAATGGAACAAAGGAAGAAAGGTTTAGAAATGTGATAAGGTTAAAACTACCATTGAGTGAGAATAAAGGCAGTTGAGTGTCAATTTGACAAGTATGAAGAGAGTGAGAAAATGTACAAAAGGATCATATGGGAGTGATAATAGTGAATTAATTATTAAAGTAAAAGCAAACTATTTATTTTATTTTTTAATTTTGGTAACAGCTTGATTCCACACTGTATTTTTGGTACAAGTATGGAATTTTCAGCGTGGATGTCGGTAGCTCAAATTTCGCAGTCCGACCATAGATATCTGGTGTTCGCCGTTGTGGGCTCGAACCCCGGACCATGTGCATGGTCGTCGAGAGTCCTAACCACTGTGCCACCGACGCCACCATTTCAATGGGCCAATCCTCGAGGTAATGGAATACGAGGCCGACCCGTGGACGGGGTTTAGCAAGCTCACAGCACCCGTCCGTAAGGGAAAAATACAGGTAATTCCATTGGTCTCAGTTTAGAGACCGTTGCAGAAATCACACTGCAAAGAACAGATACTACACATGATCTTATCTCAGAGAGCCGAGAAGCGATGACATTTAAAAAAATAAATAATTATATGGAATGACTAATGAAGAGGGTAATATTGTCTTAGAATCAGAGACTGGACAAAGTTTTCTTTACACAGAGTTAGAGGTTGTATTGACGAATCGCCAGCACCTCCTCTATACAAAAATGCTTAAACCTAATGCCCTTTCTACTACTTGTCCCTACGTTGTAGATAATCTTGAAAGATGACTCCTCTGGAGTAGCGTGTCTTGAGTTCACCAAGTGCTCAAGAATTGAGTTAGTAATTATTTAGCATTGTCCTCAAGCTAACCATGACGGATACGTTTGGAAAGTGCGCGCTTTTTGCGGCAAATACAACTAGCTCCGCACGAAAAATTGAATTTATAAACACACTGAATTAGACCATAGCGGCACTTTATCCTTCACACAGCCAATAATCATTTGACGTCTGTCGAAAGTTATCCGTAGCTCAGACTCAAAGAAGGATTTTCCCAGTGATCTGGATTACCGGTTTTTCAGAATCTCAGCTGTGGTATCACATTTAAATTCAACCTTCATAAATAGCAGTTTCTTCGGTTCTTTCAGCCTTTTTCTGTACCTTGATATTTTTCTCTATGAACCTTGAAGGATGTCCATTTCGCATGAGGACTTGTCTGAGTCGCTCCATTTCCCAGTCGACCGTATCACTGCTGCATATTCTTCTTATTCTTGAGGCAGATAGTTTCAGTAAGGGGAACATTAGTGAAAATGGACGTAGCATTCATAGATATCATTTTCTCCCTGGATATATTGGCATCACCTGCTGAGTCGATGAATTCAAATGAATCTGAAAAACTGTGCTGACAGAGATTATTTCTGATAAGTAGGAGAATGTCTGCGATCCTTTGGAAGAAACATGATACGGTGAATTTGTCATAACCAACATTAGACGTAGTGGTACATCCCTCTAGTTTACGTACTTTTAGTTTGCTTTTACTTTAATAATTAATTCACTATTATCACTCCCATATGATCCTTTTGTACATTTTCTCACTCTCTTCATACTTGTCAAATTGACACTCAACTGCCTTTATTCTCACTCAATGGTAGTTTTAACCTTATCACATTTCTAAACCTTTCTTCCTTTGTTCCATTGAGTACTGTGTAATTTACAACTTTTATTTTTTTACCTCTAAAGGCACTTCTGAGTAATTCTATCAAATACGTCAGCCTGTATTACTCAGTAATAGACTACAATACATTTTTGGTAAATATAAATACGACTGTACAGTCTCTGAAGAAGATTTCGTCGATAAAGACAGTTAACCTCACTGAATTGTCTTTTCTTTTCTTCACTCTTTATATAATTCATATAGTTTTGGTATCTCACCACATTAGGGTGAAACAGATGAATTCACACACCCTAAATAATTTTCTTCCATTTGAGTGTATAACACCACATATTTTTAAATAGATTTCGTAAATTTTGTGGAAAATTGATTCTATGTTTACATTGATGATTCTTATGTTCGATTGGATGGAGTATTTCATCATGAGCTGACATCAGTTAGAGAAAAATTGGAATACCTGGAAGTACTGGACACATGTTTCTTCTTAGTTTGGGACTCTTCACAGTACGCACCCACCGCTAGGTTTCGAATCCAGGATCTTCTGGTTACAAGGCAAGCACGTTGAACATTGATCCAATGAGACTCGATCCATTGGCTGATGAATTCTAACCTCCACCATTTCGCAATGTCTTCTTCGATGAGCTACTGCGTTTCTTTTATTGTCACTCACTATCTCATTTTCAAGGAGATACAGAATATAAAGTGCGTATCACCTAGTAAATAATAATAATATTTCACTCAGTTATGTACATAATTAAACGATTAGTTGTAAAGCCTGAATAAAATACGCCATTTCCTCTCTAGTAAACACCATTTTGAACGGAAATTACTTCAATAGCAATTGAAAATCAAAGAGTTTAATTTTTATGCTACATGATTTATTTAACGCTTTTCGACATCAGATAGAAGTACACCCTGTTGAAATACTTCAATCTCCTCTGAAAGATTTTCTTCAAAATTATATTATCTCATTTAATTAATGTTATATTGTTTATGAACGTGCAAAGTCCATGAGTACAACTTTGAGAGTCTCCTTTGAAATGTTTAAATAGTAAAGAGAGAATCAACCTTTTGATTTATTTGTTATTTATTATCTTATCAAAGTACATAAACTTGTGAAACAAATAATCCATTTTTATCACTCAAATCTCAGATCAGTTTTTAGTGAATCATGTTAGTTGACCTTTGTTTCTATTTTTGTGTAAATCGCAAACTTGTGTTATTTAAGTGGGTGTGTTAGTATTAGAAATGATGATAATTGTGCTAAGAATATCTAGACTTCAAAAGATGGTGGGCGGAGGGTTGGGGTAGACTGCTTCATGTTTTCCTGTGAACATGATATGATTTGTGTTTATGATATGATAATGAGTCGGACCACTACAATTAGGTATAAATGTTGATTTAGGTTTGTCATGCTGGAGTGAATAATTTTGAGGCAGCTATCAATGTGGTTTGTGACTTACTTCTTCGAAGGTGTTATCCATATCCGTCAAATATGATGTAGACTGCTGAGTATCATTCCATACTTTTTCGATGATGCTGGACAGCGCTGCATTTTCATCAGCTCATGACTTTGTTTCCATGATATCAACGTGTTGTGGACAAATTATTCAATCCAGAACATCTAAAAATCTTTTCAGTATGATATCCTTTAGTAATTTATTTGGAGTGGCCAGTTTTAAGATCCCTCATCGATTCTTGCATTCGACTTAAATCGCTTCTCTTTTCCAGTTTGACAATATAGCTTCCCTCTCAATTCGTAGGTGTCTTTCCTTCCACAGCTTCCTGAGTAGTGTCGTGGGATGTCCTCTTTCATCTCTCACTGTGTTGACTGGTGTTGAGTTATTTGATGTAGTGTTGTCAAGACTCTCTATCCTTGTATTATTTCTACTTTAGTCGACAGTGTTTCGTAAAAGCATATTTTGGTTTTTATGAGAGTTATGCTCCACTCGTTTTTTTCACTGAGACGTAGATATCAATCACCTTCTTTATTCGTTGTTTATCTTTGAATGGGTTCATTTTCTGCTTCACCTTCTTTCTTCTCTCTCTCTTTATACATGTCTGTAGTCGGCCATTATCATTTTTGCCTCTTCTTAATTTCATGTTTTTTCGATTATCAATGACTTGCCTTCAGCCTCGTTGTATAATTTTTAATTGACATTTTTTGTGTGTTTGTATCACTACACTCCATAATATTGAAGCAGTTTTTAAATCAATTTTCAGCCTTGGTTTTCTAAGGTATTTTGAATGTCCGTGGAGCTTTGGGTAATATATTTCGTTACACTGTGACCAGGGCATGACTTTTATTTTTCCTGTTCACTGTATTCTAGGCGAATTAATTCATTTTTATTCGTAATACATATTGTATTGAAAATAACTAACCCTTTGTATACATCTGCAGGTTAGGTCTTCAGGACAGATTCATATGCAGCTGCACTAATAAATGTATTTACCTAACTTTAATAACACTGAAATTAGTTGTATAACCTCATCTATTATCATAAGGCGCATCTCAGAGATATGTGAAATGTGCGTCGGTGGCACAGTGGTTAGGACTCTCGCTGACCATGCACATGGTCCGGGGTTCGAGCCCTCGCCGATGCGCACTTGATATCTATGGTCGGCCTGCGAAATTTGGGCTACTGATATCCACGCTGAAAACTCCATACTTCTACCAAAAGTACGGTGTGGGGGTCAAGGTGTAATCAAAAATAATAAATAAATAAATGAATTAGGTACCACCTTTAACTCTATATATAAAGATTAAAGGCTTGTTTATGCACTATAAAAAAAAGGTGAATTATACTTTAAAAATCTCAATTTAAAGCCGTCTTTTACTTATCTGTGTTTGCCACCCCTTAAATCAACATTTTGACTATTTACTGTTTGAATTTCGACCTTTTGTTTTTTGTTAACTTTTATGTGAATATGTATGATAACTATATGCTTTTGTGATTAGAATATCCGAAGTGTATTTCACAAATATATTACACTTATCAGATAAGTAGCGTCTTATCTTGTTGAAATTTATAAGAGGCAAACTAACAGGTTTATGTTTCACATTATCCTACAATACCTAAAGCTCACAAGTCTCTTTATTTATTTGATGGTTAGTGGCCATTGGTAGGAAGCCTTCGATTTAGGTTTCCTGCTAGTTGGCACTCACTAGACACCAAGGCGGATCTGCTAGCTTATAAGAACTCGTGTTCTTTCTAATATTGAAACTCGCGTCACCCAGTGAGTACTATAGTCAAAGACGTTACCACTGAGGTATTCGAGCTTGCGATTGACCTCCTGTAGGTCTGTATTGGGTACCTTTGATTGCCTCCATACATCTGTTATCAAAAAAATCATACTGCACCGTGATAGCTAGCCACCGAGAATGGTGGACACTCAGTACTGATTACTTATTTGTGTCCAATTAAAAGTTTTCTTACTGTTTAACATTATATCTCCACTATTATCAAGTATTAATGTTTTATTATTATAACTTCCTTTGATTTCGAATGGAACATCGGCATTCAACAGCAAGTATAATCAAGTAATCTTTGTTAATGAACATTTTTTTAAAAATTTTTCTCCTTTTCAAAGATAATGAAACCGTTAAATCTGCTACGACAGTGAAATCTCAACTACAAAATATTTTATTGAAATTAAAAATGGCAAATGAGGAATTCAGTTTGAATTCTGTATCAAAAAAAATTTACACATTAGTCGAAAAGACTAATAATAAGGTAATATATGTATATATGTTTTCAGTTAAATGTTCTGAAATTAATTACCAGGCATATAACAAAATTAGTTTTCATACATTTGGTTCCCTTGATAAATTTCGATAGAGCAAGAATGACCAAATTTACATTATAAAATGATATCATTCCATTTCACAGGTTCTCATCAGCTGCAAACTACCTGAAAATACATGGTATAAATAATAACATTTCATACTTCATTGTTTGAAAGGTAATAGAGAAAACATTATAAGGTGAATGCATCATCAATTTATATACTGTCAAACTATGATAAAATAAAAGGGGGTGGGGTGACAGAAGACAGACAACAGAAAAAATCTAGTAAACAGTGTCAACATGGCAACTCAAGAAGGTCAGGTTCATCAATTTGAAAACTTGCTTAGTGAATTGAGCTCACTAGTGGGTATAACTAATCAGTGTAATAAAAGTAATATTGTTACCAAGGGAGTGAGAGATCGACCGCACTCTCTTTCTATATGCATAAGTTTGGTCTGTGACGTTTGATTGCAATTGCTTCAGCAAATTGTAGTAGATTCGCTGTCCTTTGTATGCTTAATATTTTGAAGGATTTGGAAATCTCTAGAGAATGACCCGTATCCACAAGGTGTCTGGTAATCGCACTTTGTAAATATCTGCTTCCTTTTAGGCATAAGTTTCTTGGAATATGCTCTGAAAACAGGATAAATGCCCTTCCTTCTGATTCGTTCACCTTATAATGTTTTCAATAAAGAAAAAAAATCCCCATTTAGACATTTAGAAAACAGAGCCAGAGATGAGGATCTAATTGAAAAGTAAATATTTCTTCGCTCAATCTTTCTGTTTTATAATGTTTTCTCTATTACCTTTCAAACAATGAAGTATGAAATGTTATTATTTATAACCATTGTATTTTCAGGTAGTTTGCAGCTGATGAGAACCTGCGAAATGGAATGATATCATTTTATGCTGCAAATCTGGTCTTTCTTTCTCTATCGAAAATTAGTTTTCTTATAAAAACGAAATATGATATGTTTTCATCAAGTTAACACACAAAGCTTTTTCTAAAATGTTGATGTATGCGAAATATTTAAACCTGTATAATTGAACTACCAGTAATCTAAATAAGCAGGAGTATTAAATCCAAAAATTCAATACAAGTAAATTTAGTTATGCAACAGAAGAATAATGTAAGTCAGTGGTTCAGTGGTGGACTGCTTGTCAATCATATACGTTGTTCGGGTTCGATTTCCAGCCAACACACTCCTAAATCTTACTTATCCACTAGTAAACGTGGTAAAGAGGGATGGTTTAGTCAGAGGATAGGAACCCCAACCCATAAAAGAGACCTCCACAGCTACTGAAACTTTAAGCTTAAAATCCTATGCTTCACTCGGAGTGGAAATCGATAAACAACGCAGTAAAATTAAAAGGCCAACATTAAAGTAAAATATGAGGGAAAAAGTTAGAAATGCTTACTTTATTTTTTTAATACTCAAACTTTTAAATCATTATCCTAAGGCGAATTATTTGACACTTTTTTGTTCAGAATTCTACCGTAGACAATGAAACATTAATCGGTAAGTCAAGAAATTAGAACTTATCTAACTGTCTAGTTATAAATATTGTGATGAATGTTTTTTTACCTCTAACTGTGCCGTTTGGAAATGACAAACTCGATTCTTGATTCATTTTAAAAGTTAGCCGAAATTCAGATGTTTTCTACTAACTCAGCTTTCTGATCTGAGTATAACTAGGTGTGTATCACTAATGACTTCGGCCTTAAACGACGAAAACAGCCATCCGGTATTTAAACCACTTCACTCTGTCTAGGCATTACTACTGATAGAAGAAAGGAGTTTCTAACTTCTCAAATCAAGCAGTACTGTATATGATAATGCTATTTCGAGGGCCTTCTTGGCTGCAATTAGTGCTATCAGCGAGGTCACATATCGTTAACCAAATATATACCATAAGTGATCTTTATAAGACAAACGAAGTGATTTCTAGAGAACTAATGAGTTCCATCATGGACTTAACTCAACCGCTGAATCTTTGAACACAAAGAGACACTAAATGCTTATTTCACCCTTATTTTGAGAACTTTAGGTAATACAGTATATAAATATAGATATGTAGTAGGCATTCTAACATTGAGATTCATGAGGCATGTATATTTATTAAATATGTACCACGGCAAATTATAATAATCATCATACAAGCTATCTTCGGGACTCTGTATGAGCATTCATACTCTCTCTCTGTCTGTGACTGTGTGCATAGTTTCTATAAGAAACTTGACCTTGAGTACTTAGTATTATTATTATTGCTCCCTTGGGTTCCTAGTGGAACATAGGCCTTCAACTGCACGTCTCCACTTGCCGCTTCTGTCTTCTGCTCTACTTTTCACCTGCATCCATGTCAGTCCATACTGTTTCAACTCGTCTTCACACAATCTCCTCCATATCACCCTTGCACCGACGTCCCACTCGCCGCTTCCCTTTCGGGTTCTACTCGAGGGCTTGACGCGCGATGTCACCCAGCGGTCTCCTCAGCGAGTGTCCGATCCATCTCCACTTTCTCCTGGATATTTGTTGGTTGGCGATTGGTTCTTGCTTTGTTTGTTCCCATAATTCCTTGTTGGTGATTCTTTCCGGCCCGGCCATCTGATCTTCAGTATAGAGCCAGAGAAAACAGTTGTTAATAAAGGTCTGCAGTCTTTTGGAAATATTCTTTGTGACCCGCCCGCCAAGTTTCTGATCCGTATAGAAGAACTGACTGACTTCACGTTTGTATTGAAAATCCGAATTTTGTTGGTGATGCTGAGTGACGAAGATTTCCAGATTGATTTCAGGCTGATGAATGTGTTTCTCGCCTTCCCGATTCTCGATTTGACATCCTCGTCCGCTCTTCCTGTAGTTGAGACAATGCTCCCTAGATAAGTGAATGAAGTGACCTCTTTCAAATCCCTCCCGTTGATGGTGATTGACGTTGGATGTTATTGCTGTTGTTGGTTGGTTATTTTCATAACCTCCGTCTTGTCTATGTTAACCTGGAGTCCTGTCTTTGCTGCTTCTTCGATTAGTTTGTCGGTTTTCGCTTGTAAGTCTTCGATTTTGTGCGACATCAAACGTAAATTATCCACGCGCGAAATCCAGGTCTTCTAGGTTCTTCACGTCGGTCCAGGATATCCCTGTCTTCTCGTTTCCCACAATCTGACGCATAATCCAGTCAGTCCACCACAATTAGGAATATCATTGGTGATAATAGGCAGCACCCTTGTCTGACTCCTGTGTTTACTCCAAACGCCTCGCTGAGTGTTTTCCGTTGTGGATCACTTGACATGTGCCGTTGTCGTACAGCTGTTGAATAAGGTTGATGAATATTTGGGGTACGCCGTAGTACTCGAGTAATTTCCAAATTACTTCACGATCAACGCTGTCGAAGGCCTTCTCAAAGTCTATAAAGTTGAGGTAGAGGTTTGATTGCCATTCCATGCTTTGTTTGATGATGATGCGTAGAGTTGCAATTTGGTCAGTACATGATTTGCCTTTCCTGAATCCAGCTTGTTCTGGTCGGAGTTCTGTCTCCAGTGCGTCCTTTAATCTCTCCAGGATGATGCGACTCAGGATTTTACTTGGCGTCGACAGGAGCATGATTCCTCGCCAGTTCTTGCAGAGTCCTAAGTCGCCCTTCTTTGGTAGTTTCACGAGGTAACCTTTCCTCCAGTCAGTAGGCACCTTTCCCTCCTTCCAGACCTTTTGCAATAATGGAGTCAGCATGTCTGCTGTCATCTCTGGGTCCATTTCAGTGCTTCAGGGGGTATTCCATCTGGTCCGGCTGCTTTTCCAGCTTTCAGAAGTTTGATTGCGTTCAAGACTTCAGCTCTCGTTGGAGGATTGGTGTCAACTTGCAGTTGTGTGCGTGCTGTTGTTGGTATTTCTGGACGGGTTGCAGGTGATGGTCGGTTCAAGAGTCCTTTGAAGTGATCCGCCCATTGTTTAATCTGTTTTTCTTCCTTGGTAATTGGGTTCCCTTGGCTGTCTTTTATAGGTTTCGCTTGTGTTGGTCTCTTCCCGGATAGAGATTTGGTTATCTGATATAGTGTCCTCAGGTCCCTTTTGCCTGCTGCCTTCTCAGCTTCAGTGGCGAGGTTGTCGTAGAATCGTCTTTTGTCCTTCCTAGCATCTTCTTCACTTCTTTGTCCAGTGCTGTGTAAGTTGAGCTCAGCGTCTCCTTCTCCTGTCCGTCCTTGCATTGAATCATTTTCTCTTTCACCATTCTCCTCTCTTCTATTAATTTCCAAGTGTCCGTTGAGAGCCATTCCTTGTCTTGTCTCTTCTTTCTTCCTAGAACCGTTGAACACGTTTCGTTGAGAATCGCCTTCAGAGACTTCCAATGTTCTTCCACGCATGATTCTTCAGTGATGTCGCGTAGTGTTTCCTGCTTTGCTCTGACAGTTGCAGTGAAAGTGTCTTTTGTGGTTGTGTCCTTCAGTAATTGAGTGTTGAACTTGCATTGTGGCCTATCCCCAGCTATCCTCGAGGCTTTTAGTTTCACCTTGAAAGTCCCTTGTACTAGATAGTGGTCTGAACCCACATCTGCTCCTCTCCTTGACCTTGTGTCCAGTAGGCTCCGTCTCCACTTTCTTGAAATTGAGATGAAGTCTATTTGTTTTTGGTGTTTCCATCTGGTGAAATCCATGTCGTCTTGTGTATATCCTTGTGTTTGAACACACTGCCACCAATCACCAAATCATTGAAGGCGCAGAAGTCTGAGAAGAGTTCACCATTGTCGTTCATTTCACCGAGGGCCTCACGACCCATGGTGAGTTCTCTTCCTGTGTTGTCTCCTCCCAGCTTCGCATTCATGTCGCCCATCAGGATTTTGATATCGCCATTTGGGACGTTGTCCATTATTGCTTGTAGTTGTCTGTAGAACGCCTCCTTCTTCTCTTGTTCTGAGACGTTTGTAGGCGCATAGCATTGAATGACTGTAACTTTCCTTCCTTTTGAGTTGAACCTGGCTGTCATTATCCTGGAGGAGATTGGTTCCCACTGCATGAGAGCTTTGGCTTCTGTTGGTGACATCATGATGGCCACTCCCTCGGTGTGCTTGTGTTTGTCCTCTGGGTGGCCGGAAAAGATTACTGTCTCTCCAGTAGGTAGTTGGCACCTTCCAGTTCCGTTCCATCTGCTTTCGCAGATTCCCAACACTTCTATTCTGTACCTTCTCATTTCAGCTACTATCTGGGCAGCCTTTCCAGTTTCGTACATTGTGTGAACATTCCAGGTACCCATCCTTACTTTTGCTTTCATCGAAAGAAGGCACATCGGCTGACTGGCTTCCCGAAGGCTTTCACCAGCCTGCGTCATTTCACTTCCCCGATTCCAGCGAAAAGTAAGGCTATTGCTTATGTTTTTAGAATTTTTAATATATTTATTCGTTGAAGTTTCTGTAGCGATTTGGTTGTTTTACAGGGGTGGAGTTGCTAGCACCACGCCCCAACCCTGCCTCTTTACCCGGGCTTGGGACCGGCTAGAAAACTAGTAAGCTAGTAGCCTAGCAAGCTAGTATCTGGCGAGGTTGAGTACTTAGTATACTTGAAGAAATTTATCTTTAGTATGCTTAATTATTGTAACATAGAATAGTTTAGTAACGTCGTTTCCAAAGTAAGGTTCAGGGAATAAAACCATTCTTTTCACGTATTCCAAGAAATGAAATATGATTAGCCCAACCTATTTCACATCGCATCTTGAGATATAAGAAAACACTTAGATAGAGGTGTACATCATTAGCTCTCATTAATTTTACTAATTTCACTCAATCTCTCAATAAATGATACCGTAATAAAAGTATGTTATCACTTCATAGTGCTTCAGCTGATATAGGGAATTCATGACGTCTGTGGTATGGATGAAGTAATTTGGAAACAAATTCAACAAGATGGTGCACAGCGCCCATATCTTTATCAACCTCACTCAACACCTACATGAGAATGCTGCATGTCAAATGACCCACGTGGGAAAACTCAGTGAGGGGTTTGAAGTCAATGCAGGAGTAAGAAAAGACTTACTTCCTTTTATCACCGATGATATTCCTAATTGTGGTAGACTGGATTATGCGTCAGACTGTGCATAGTGAGTGAGAAGACAGGAATATGTTGGACCGATAGGAAAACTCCGGAAGATCTGAATTTCGGGCCAAGATGATTTATGTGTAGACTTGAAGACTTATAGGCGGAAAACAACAAGTTGTCAGAAAAAGCTGGCAGCGAAAACAGGACTGCAGGTGAGAATAGAGAAGATGGAGGTGACGAAGATAACTAACCAGCAGCAACAGCAAACAGCGCCAGTCATTATCATTGGGAGAAACCTGAAAGAGTTTACTTCCTTCATTTATCTAGGAAGCATCGACTCAACCATAGGCGACTTCACGGATGAAGATGTCAACGCAAAAATAGGAAAAGCAAGATATACAATCATCAGTCTGAAATTGGTTTGCAAATCTTCTGCACTCAATCAGCATAAACAACAGGAATCGGATTTCCAACACTAATTTGAGTCATAAACTTGGCCATTGCGCTAGGAAAAGCATTTCCAACAGTCTGCTGAAGACATTTGTCAACAGCTACCACCTTCTCTGGCTCCATATTGAAGACCAAATGGCTTGCCAAAAAGAATTAGCAGCAAGAAAATATGGGAAGAAGCTAACCAAGAATCTATTGCTCAGAAAATATGAAGGGGAAAATTGAGATGGATTGAGTACACACTGAGGAGATCATCGAGGTGGCATTGCGCTCCAGGCCATTGTTCAAGTGGACTCTAGATGTGAAACGGTGAGTGGGTTGTTGATGCAAGAGTGACATGGAAGAGATCATCTGGCGAGGAGAAGATGAGAGATTATGGGCGCTCGTATGTCCAGCTGGAAAAGACAACAGAGAATAGAACAAAGTATTGTTGTTTTTGAATTCTTATGTTCCACCCGAAACCCAAGGGAATAATAATAATATGGATATTTGTAAAAATCATACTTTATATCTTGGTCCATAAAATGATCAGTGAGAAAACGATACATATTAATAAAAGTAACCGATTTATGAATCTTTGCTTTTAAAGGTCAATGTGATGCCTGCATTGCCGGAATAAGCTTATTCCATTTCGTTCTCACTGATCTATACTGGCGAGCAACATATATAATCATAGGCGAACAAATCTGCCTGTCTATCCCACCTGGAAGTCTGCAAAATACAGTAAGTGTTGTTAGCTAGTGTAATTTCAAATGCCTTTAGCATTTTAAGCTTTTCCCAGTTCATTTATAACTAACGTTTATGAATGGCAAATCACCTTGTCAGCATTGTCTTTCTTTCATATATTTATTAATCCAATAGTTCTAGGAAAAATATTTTGTATTAAGGTCTTTTTGATTTCTAGGAGGCCAGTTAGTGACGCTTCTTTTTAACAACTTCCAGCTTTTTCCCGGTTGGCTTCAACGAGTTTTGTGCAGCCACGTGTCCTTCCAGACTTGAACTTTGACCGCACTACCTGTTGACTCCTTAGTCTCGCCCATTTAGCGTGGTGGCCAGGTGAAGGGGGATATAAAACACAACTGTTTAGGGATGTATTTATTGACGGTAGTATGAAGAGGATATAGAGATACACAATCACATCACAACGCAACATCCATTCTCTTGTTCCTTGACAACCAACTTATCCTTTGTCTGCTCCAATCCTTACAGATAAGGAAGTTTATTGTTGAGATCAAAACAGCCGAGGTTTAATTGATTTGATGAAGTTCTTTGATCCCCTACAAGTTAGCCAATAAAATTGGTCAAAAATAATAAAATTATTAAGATATCACTATTCCCTGTATCAAACATAGCCACCACAGTGATCACAGGTTCTCGAAAAACGCTCCTAGAGATTTGTGTTATATCTGGCTCTTTATCAGTCCACTTTTGTCTTTTCTGTACGCAAAGTGGTTTGCCTTTCATGAATTATTTTGTCGATGTCGAACCTTCGTTAAAACCTACTTTTAACTAACCAAATTTTCAATAAGTTAGTCATTATTAAATTCTTTCTTAACAGCTACTAATACAAATACTGAGTTAACGTCGTCATTGTTTTACATTGAAAAATGTGACAAGGAGAAAAATTGAATAAACTGAATTGAAAGTAATGCAAAACCTACCTTGTGAAGTATTTACCGTCTGTATCATAAGGAATAACAGTGAAGGTTTATAACTCTGGTGGTTGATTTTGATTCAATTCTGTTCTCTGTGCTGGGTGATATAGCTGTGAAGCTTTCATTATCTTTCTAAACAACATCTTCAATGCAAGCTTCAATATGAAGTAAAATTATTTGATTTCTCCATGAATAAAGGAATGCAGATAAAGCCTGAGTGAATGCTACTATCATACAGCTACAATTCAAGTAGCAAAAATATTACAGGAAATAATTAGGCTATGCCCTAGAACTTTAATTGGTGGATGGTGACTAGCAGTGGAATCCAGGACATTTCCTCCTCGCGTTTCCTCCTATTTGGGACCCGTCAGCTGGATGTACCTGCATTTCTCAGTGAGCGATAATGTTTCCACCGAGTGTCGAACCCATCCACATCCACCAATTAAATTACAATTAAATACCTAGACATCGTCGAAGCATCTGTACAAGAAGCCAACATGTCAACTTGAGACCCAGCACTTCGGTTCAATCAGTTGACGGGAAAATCTCAAATTCAATTAAAATATTCCCTAGAACATCAGTCACAAGTTATCCAGTCGTTATTTTTGGTATATGTTTAGCCCTCCAACTCCTATGACTCAAAAAATTGAAATATTTACTATGCTAAAAATATCACTTACTTCAGCTCAAATAATGGCGTTTAGTCTTGTCAAGCTTAGGAATCCAAGAAATACCCATGAAGCCTTTCACCTAAACTTTACTCAGAATAATTGGTTTCACATTAACACATGTTGTTTTGCATTACATGTGTGATGCACTAGTCATTTTACATTTGAACTACCAACTGGTGTAGTTTATTAAGCTGGCTTTATTATCTTTCTGAAAATTGTCTTTACTGCTAACTTCCCTATGAAGGGAACACTTGCGGTTCTCCACTGAGTATCACAACCTTGTATAAATTTATTTTACTACATTAAAGACTTTCAGTTATCTAGTATACACTGATTAATACACTAAAATATACATCTCAGCAACAACAACTGAAATTTGTTTCGTTTACTTGCTGTTTTGTTTTAGTGTATGTTTTATGTGGATCATTTCCTTGATCAAGCCATCATTGCAATGGGGAATGCAATTCGACCAGAGGTTTTATGCCAGGTATGTTGTATAGAAAGGGTATTTTTAGAACTGATGTTTTAATACCTACATAATGGATTAGTTGGTTTTGAAATTTACGAAGTTCTCAATGAAATACATCCTAATTGGTAGAAAGTCTAATCTAAGCACTCTGTCTACTTTAAAACAAAAAAGCTTTAACAACATTAAATGACTGAGTTCACTGGCTATACACGACACAGTCAGGTTTTCTTCAATTTCCAAATACATATAATTATTATTTCCTTTAATTCCTAAAGGAACATAGGGCATCAGCCGCGCGTCTCCATTGCGTTCGTTTTTCGGCCAGCTTTTTCACCCGCTCCAAGTCTGCCCACATGCTTTCATCTCCTCTTCATATGACCCCCTCTAAGTCACCCTTGCACCGACGACCAACTCGCCGCTTCCATTTCGGGTTCCAATTGAGCGATGGCTTGTCGTGTGATGTCACTTGATGGTTTCCTCAGAATATCTCCTCCAATCCACCTCCATTTCTTCCTGCATATTTTTTGCACAATCGGTTCTTCCTGGGTTGGTTCGCTCATTGCCAGAGATCCCTGTTGCTGATCTTTTCTGGCCGGCCATCTGATCTTGAGTACTCACTGAGGGAAGACAGCTGTTGATGAAGGTCTGTAGTTTGTTTGAGGTGCTCTTTATGACGCACTGGCCAAGTCTCTCATTCGTATAGGAACACTGATTTCATATTGGCGTTAAAAATCTGGATCTTATTTTTCAATCTGAGTGCTGTTGACCTCCACAGAGATTTGAGAGTATTGAAAGTTTGTCTTGCTTTCCCGATCCTTGCTTTGATATCCTCGTCATTTCAGTCCTCTGGTAGTTGAAACGATGTTTCTCAGTTAGGTAGGTAAAGGAGGTTGTTTCTTTCAGGTTCTTCCCATTTATGCTGGCTGATTGTTGTCTGTTGTTGTTGCTGATGATGTTGCTATTGGTTTTGCCCAGAAATCTTCATCACCTCTGTTTTCTCTATGTTCACCTGAAGTGAAGTCCTATCTTTGATGCTTCTTCTGCCAACTTGCTGCTTTTCACTCGCGTATCTTCAAGTTTGTGGGAAATCAGACATATATCATCGGCGAAGTCCATATCCTCCAAGTCTCCGTTTGTGTGAGTCCATTTTATTCCTGTTTCCTCATTGCCCACCACTGTCTGTTGCATTATCCAATCTACTGCAATCAGGAAGATCATTGGCGATAGTAGACAGCCTTGTCTTACTCCCGTTCTCACTTCGAAGGATTCCGTAAGTTTCTTGTTGTGGATTACTTGGCATGCAGCATTGTTGTATAACTGTTGGATGAGATGTATAATTGTCGATGGGACCCCGTAGTAGCGAAGTAGTTGCCAAATGACCTGCCAATCGACGCTGCTCTGTCAAAGGCCTTTTCAAAGTCGATGAAGTTGAAATAGAGAGGCGCCCACAATCTCCCTTCCAAATCCATAAATCTATCTTTTTTAATGAAATCCAAAAACAATTATTCAAATGTCTGAGTTGAAATACGCTTGAAATTGAAATGCTTAAACATAATAAATTATGCATAATTCAAGGGATAATATTTACTCCTTTCTAATTATACACTCACTTTTTGTCCGTCATACACGTCCAGTAATTTTTAAAAATAAATCTTACCATTTTCAGGCTTTCCGTGAATGCAACACTACAAACTCCAGTAATGCAGGACATCTATGTAAGTTTCGGACTGTTTTCTTTTTCTTTCATAAATAGTGATACTTAAGTAGTGAAAACGATTTCTTCTTTATATTTCTACTATATTTATCTCTCATGAAATGACTAATTTCATTGAAAAAGGTCACTATTGTTCTCTACAAAAGAGAAAGTGTTCAATCTGGAACTCTGTTTGCATCCTGAAGTAATTTTGAGTTACACCTTTAGTATTCCATCCTCTGGTTAAATTTTTAGCATAATTTGTCAAGAATTACGGAATAATTGCAAAATAGAATCGACCTTACCGCGTAAGGAAGAAGTTGATAAAAATAATTTTAACGTAAATATTTGTTTTAACCTTATCAATGAATGTGTATAAATTAAAACATGCCTGTCTAGTTATTAGCCGTTATTAAGATTTGTTTCCATCTGGTATTGTTTTACAAATACTAGTTTGAGAATATCTCTTTCAATTCCCGAGAGATTAAACTATGTCACATGTCCCCAGAGTTTCATTTTTGCTTCATTATTGAACAAGATTATCTAGTTAGTATTGATAAAGTCTGAAATACTTCCTGTCTGCCTGTATGTTTTCAGCATAGAACTTTGCAGCGATGTGTGGCAGTTCAAGTCGCCATACTCCACTCCATGTAGCACATAGAGCAAGAGAAGAAAGCAGTAGAAATGCAAAATAGAGACAATAAACACAGATATGAGACAAATGAAATAGTAATAACGAAGAACAATATAGTTTTGTTGGGTATTATAAGTCACAAGGAGTGGATGCATATGTGCCAGCCACTGAAAACGATTTTGAGTCATATCACCGATTGTCTTCAGCTATTGGTTTTCACCGTCCCGAAGACCCCAACCCGGAAGTCTACACTTTCGTACATGGCTTAAACTAACTGTATTGGATTTCATTGTCTGATGAGATCATATTTTGGTTTGACCGCCGTCAGCTCTTTTCCAGCCTGATCCAACCTATGTCAGTCAACATTGCCCGTCGAGGAAGGCGTAACATATGTCCTGATCATCTTGGTCTATGTAGCTTCACAGCCTTGTCAATTGATTCCCCCTCCTTACCTAGCACTCAACGCCTAACCTCAGTATTGCTTGCCTAACTATACCACTTTACACGGGATATAGAACGCAGGCACCTATGATCATAGACAGCTAACCGGCCTTCTCATGTCCTCCACTCTCAATGGCCAGGTGTCACAGTCATAAAGGAGAACGGAGCGGAATGCTGAGCAGTACACACTTCCTTTGGTCGATGGCCGGTCGGATATCACGTTCACGCCTACTTCATTCTTGGTTTCATTTAAATAGCCAAATACAAACAACTAGTTCAGGTGTAAAACAGCCCGACATCAAGATGAATTTTGAATTCAACTGAACACAGTTCTCGAATTTGACTATGTACCAAAAGCATTATCAGGAGTTAACTAGGAACTTACAAATCATCAGATTGCAAATATTTTAAATACTCATGCGAGTGAATAACACCGCTAAGGGTTATATTTTAATAGATTAAAACAAAATGAACAAGAGAAATTATGTATAACATAATAATGGAGGTTTCTGGTGGCCCAAATTTTAAGCAGGCAACTGCATCTATTCTATTCGATAAATTTCCTTCTGTTTTGGAAAGCTGACTTTTTATATTTCCTTACCATTAATCATTTGTTTTTTTCTCCAATGTGTACAATTTAGCTATGGATAGTAGTCTCCATATTAAAGACTATGCTTCCACTATTCAATCATGGTTAGTAAATTCAAAATACACAGATGTATTGGATTTCATGATTAACTTTATTTGTGAACAAATTAACCCGAACGCTGATAAGGTAAGTATTGTAAATTCGTTTAAAATGTATCTTTACATGTATTTATACGTATATATATGTATTTTGAAGGTGTTCGAATTATCAGCAGATGCTGTCTGGTATCGATTATTAGCAAGTAGTTACAAAGTCTCCAACTTAAACATTAGTTGAAACAAGATGGAGTTTGTGAAGAAGCATAAATTCTGTTGAGGTTGTAGATTTCCTTGCTTGATGAATACTAGGAAGCATAAAGACTGTTTCAAGCAAGAACTTGTCATCAGGCAAACCGCAAATTTTACGGACTACAGTATCGCTAAGGTCAGTATAGAGAATTCCAGTAATTTCAATGAATTTTCATTAATTCTTTCATTAAAATCATCAGACCATTACTAAAAGTATAAAACGTGAAAAATTGTTTACATGTAGTCTATTTTACAAGGTCTACTGAAATTCATGCCATTCAACGTCCATTGCCCCCCCCCCAGAAATGTGTTTAAAATCTGATCTTACAGTATATTAAGAGACACAGTATTTATAAATATTAAATGTTAACTCCTAAATGGTATGTAATTGGCGCAGAGGTGGAATGCTCGCCAACGAACATGTGGTTCCAGGTTCAATCCTCGGCCGATGCACTCCTGTAACTCGCTAAGCCATTATTAAAACGGATAAAGAGCGATGGTCAAGCATGAAACAAGCAATCCCATCTCGTAAAAATAAGCATCACTGTTATCGGAACTTCAAGCCCCAGCTTGAAGCCTTATGTTCTACTGAGAATGTGAGGGAATAAAGAAACACCTGTTTGATAGACTCCCTTTTACAATTTAAAATTAAATAGGTCTGTTTGAAGTAGACGGTTTATAACAATATCTAGCGTGAAAATTGCTTTTCTCCAAAGACAAGAGACTTGAGAATGTGTAATATTTAGATGGTTTATGATAATAACTACCACAAGTGAATCCAAGTAATTTCATCGATCAGAATCTGCTTGTTGCAGTCTAAATGCCGGCAACTAGTCGCTGCGTTCTATTGTATAGCTAACCAATACTTCCTAAGTTGCGCACAGCTCCACGATGTCCCAACGACGACAAAATGACAGTTATTTGCGATGAAATTTGTTGTACTACTCAGTAACGGTAAAATCTTATCAAAACTCAAAATTACTTCAACAGTGCCGTTAGGCGGGTGTGCAGGTAGAGTTCCTCCAGTACAAAACAATTACTCTACAAAAAAACTAGTTAACCAGAGTCAACCATAAGAAGTTCGGATCGAAGTTCTGTCAGCGAGAACCAAAGCAACAAAAACTTCCTTTAGAGAGTTTAAGGTCAAAATCCCCACCTCAAACCTTGACTTCATTCAAACAAATTCGCAATCGTAAAACAATATATTGTCAATACCATCAAACAACCGCAGAGGGAAGCATTCAAATTAACGATTAAGCAAGAACAAAGACAGATAATAAGGATTAAGTCAACAAGTGATATGCAAACATCAGGGCAATGGTATATAGCTTAGGATAAATAAAGGAAAATAGTTACAAAGGTATATTTAATTGAATTTTAGATTTTCCCGTCGATTGACTATGGGCACTGGGTGCGAGCCTCGGTAGGAACGTCATCATTCAGTGAGAAATGCAGGTACTTCCAGTCGGCTGACGAGTCCCAAATAGGACGAAGTGCGCATCCAAGGTTCCACTGCTAGTCACCATTCACCAATTAAATAGTTACAAAGGTAGTTGAAATATCCAAATAATTTTCAATACTGTAAACAGATCGTTTAGGAGGAACTTTCTAAAATATTATTCCTTTGCAGTAATAATATCTTCCCTCAAACTAAACCTCTGATTATATAAATCAAAAATGCGATCACATTTTTATATTATTTCTAATGTAACACCTTGTATCTTGGTCCTTGAAGGAGGGAAAGTCGAAATCCAAACGAGATAATTTATCTCATCGGCAACTGTTTAAACTTTGCATTATTCCATTGTTAATGAAATTCATGTATTTAGCAATTCCAGTTCTACAAACTGTTCTACATCAAATAAAGAATGAGATTCATTCTTATAATCATAATAATAATAATAATGTGTATCATTGTAAAGCTTTGAAAAGTCGTTACAGTATATCTTATATATTTCGTCAATATATCATCTTCAGTATTATAATGCGGTTAGGAATGATTCAGTTACTATACATACAACATTTAATTTCAACTAAACGTCATTCGATATCATTTTAATTCGGCATAAATAAATACCAATTCAGTTAATTGCCATTCACCTAATTGTTTTTACTGCACTTCTAGTGTCGCAGAACCTTAATCAGACATTTAAATATTATAAATCATCATGTGTCATCCCGCCTAGCTGGAAAAATGTAAGAAAATGTAAGTTTTATTTAATAAGCAGATAAATTTGATGAATATATTTCACTTTAAGTGGTTGTAATCACTTTTAGTTAACCACTTCAGTGTTTCGCCTGATATCCTCTTAATGGGCGTGTAATAGTAACAACTGGGTTTTGTGCTTCGATTGGTTTGACATCGAGAGTTGATAGTTTTTTCCCACCATAAATCAAAATCAGCTAAAAGATCTGTGAAAACATAAATGCTGTCGAAAACGCTTAGATCTTATCTGGAAACTTCTCAGTACTACTGACTGTAGGCTCAAGATAGTGCTTTATCACAGTAGCACTACAAAGATGCAAGGTTGGAACTCATTGACTTTGATCAAGGTATGGAACAGTAATCGGGATTTTCCAAGGACGTAAAGCGTCTTCTCACCTGAATTATGTAGTCAGACATATTGCATTTCCATTATTTGTTTTATTCACCATACTATGGGTTATGAAACATGAGATAATAATAGTAATATGCTGTTTGATGGAGTTAACAGCCATGTGCGTGACCTCCTTATAGATGATGGATTCTTCCTGTTATACGAAACTCATCAGGACCATATAGTATTATGAGACTTTTTAGTCAATTTCTTGTTTAGTTGCTTGTATCAACTCTTATTAAGATTTGCTGAAGAAGCAATCATAAACTAAATACAAAAATTTGTTCTCTATATGACCACAAAACATCAAGAATTCTCAGGTGGTGCGTCAGTGGTAGAGCGGTCGCCAACCATGCACATGGTCCGGCCGACGCTGAGCCAGAAATAATGCTGGTAAAGAGGAAAGGTTGGGCATGAGGCTAGCAACCCTGTTCTGTAAAATAAACACTGCTACAGAAACTTCAAGTCACTGGCTTGAAGCCCTATGTTCCACCGGGGAACGTGAAGGAAAAAAAAGACTCAGGTATTTGTTTGATGACTCCACAATGTCAGACTGGATAGTATATATCGTTTATTATTGAATTCAAAGACGGAATTAATAATTCAGTGTATCTTATAATTCTTCTCGTATTTTTTCAGGTATCCATCTTTGAAGAAACAACTGGAATATAAATAATGACTTTATTATTCTATTTTAAAATAATCCCTTTTTTCCACAATATATTAATTCATAAAATAAAGATTGAATATTATTTTTATTTCTTATTACCTGAGTTTTGTGATATCTGAACTGTTTGTTCTGTAGAGCACTACCTTGATTTATCCAAATCTGGTCAAATAATGGAAAATGTGTTTAGACAATTCTATTTACTCGGATGCTAGTTATTTTAAAACGTACCGTTTTGGATTCAGAATATAGGATATGATTCGCAAATAGATGACAATTCTTCATATCATAAACATACTGTAGAATACGGCACTATATTATACATAAAATAATAAAATATAATATACAAATCATAAATTGTGAGGTGTCTGTGCCTGATTGACGTCAAATGTACAATCACTCTGTGCGTCGGTGGCACAGTGGTTGGGATTCTCGCCGACCATGATTTGTGCCAAAAATACAGTGTGGAATGAAGCTGTAAATCAAAAATCAAAATTATTGAGAAAAAAATAACAAAACTGTGGTAAGCGATCCACGTGTAGACTTAACAATGGATGAATTTCAAATGAAGAATACGGGAATTTGAATAAATAATGTTCAGTGGAAAGGGGTATATAAAGAAAGTATACACAGCATTTGATGTTTAACAATAAGAGAACAGTTACAATACATGAAATAGAGTATTAATACACTGAGTTAAACTCAAACAGCGAACAAGTCATGGTTATTAAGTTGGGGTAACATATACAACTCGTACTACTAACAAGTGTTAAGTAGTACAGAGTTTAACACATAAAATAACAGAGCATAGAGAGGAAAAGAATCAAAACTGGTTCTTCAAACACACACTAGAAAAAAATAATCCTTTAAGGTTATTTGATTGTGAAAAAAATACTGAAAACTAGATTATGTGCTTTAATTTCAGTGTAGATTTAGTCGTGAACCAAAATCAGCCGGAGAATCACTAAACCATGGAGTGGTCCGCTAATTCGTCCTAGTTCGGTGTTCTTGAGTGCTGCGCATTCATAACCCTACTGGGGATCGAACTAAGTACCTTCAGATTACGAGGCCAAGTTATCCAGCATTCCCTGGTTCTCACTGATTCTCTAACGGATGCTGGCTGGTAATGAATACAATAAAATGAAATTAAAAGTTAGGCATAAATAAGTTTCCCAAAAACAGCAATAATTCAAGATTTTTGACAGATGATTACGTAACGGATTGATTTGACATTTTGTAATTTGTCTAATGTGTCTTGTAAGGGCATGTCGACTAACACAGAAATTATGAGACTAAGTCATATCCACACATCACAACTGCTTTCCCAATATGCGAATTAATTGTGGCATGTGTATTTTAGTTTTCTTTCAACTGAAATTAATAACTGAAGAACTTATGCTTGAAGTGCAATTACGTAAGACAGCTATACCAGTTTGATGATTCCACAGCACATAGTTTAGAAGAAGAGGGAATGAGCTGCAGGTGATTAGAAGTTATAATAAGGTATTTATTATTATCATTTCCTTTAATTCCTAGAGGAACATAGGAACATAGTACTGATATTGGACGACGTTTCGAGCACAATTTATTGTTGATAATCAAACCAAATGTATTCAAACGGCTTCATAATTTGCTTTGCGCGAATTTTTTCTATTCCCCTTGTTTTTCATTGTTTTCTAAGTATCTGGTTTAAAAGTATTGGTTTTGTAGGGATTTTTGTTTGATTGATTGGAGGATTTCATCATGAGCTGACATCAGTTAGAGAACCACTGGAAGACATGGGATTACTGGACAGCTGTTTAGTACTAGATTAGGACTCTTCATCAGTACGCACCCACCGCCAGGGTTCGAACCCAGGACCTTCTGTTTACAAGGCGAGCTCGAACCCCTGTGGGTGCGTACTATTGAAGAGTCCTAAACCAGGACGAAATAGCTATCCAGTAATCCCAGGTTTTCTAGTGGTTCTGTAAATGATGTCAGCTCATGATGAAATCCTCCATGCAATCTGGTATTCAATTCCACATGTTTGATGTTGATTCAATGAACAAACATTCTGTGATTAACCTCTTCCTCCGCCTATCTATATTATTTTTTAATACTTTCGATTTGTCCCACCCTTCTGTGTGATTTCATATGAGTGAATGCATTGTAATGGCTAAGATTTTTGTTTAGGTTATTTAACTTATCAAAGTCAATCATCCTAGCTTTAGCTAAATTTCTAAATTCCAATAATGTAATTAATTCCGATTTACTAGCCTGACATAGGTAATTGACCCCATGATCTGGTAAATTATGTTCGTTTCTGAACTGGATCTGTTGCTTCTTTAGGCCGAAAGTGTTTGTTTCTAAGTGAACTAGTTAGTTCAAATGCCATCCTAACCCCTAAGTAGGACTTTTGATGTACCTTGTATATGTATCAGCACTGTCGAGGCTTATTATTTATACCGCTCTCATCATTTACATTACTACTCATAATTTCCTTATGAGTCTTCAAGTATTTTTGGATAAACTCTATAACTATTTCCTTTAATTCCTAGAGGAACATAGGACTTCAGCCAACAACGTCTCCATTGCGTTCGGTTCTCTGCTAGAGTTTTCGTCTGGCTCCAAGTCTGCCCACATGTTATCATCTCTTCTTCAAATGACCTCCTCCAAGTCACCCTTGCACCGACGACCAACTCACCGCTTCCTTTTCGGGTTCCAATTGAGCGATGGCTTGTCGTGTGATGTCACTTGATGGTTTCCTCAGAGTATCGCCGCCAATCCACCTCCATTTCTTCCTGCATATTTTTTGCACAATCGGTTCTTTCCGGGTTGGTTCGCTCATTGCCAGAGATCCCTGTTGCTGATCTTTTCTGGCCGGCCATCTGATCTTGAGTAGTATTGAGGGAAGACAGCTGTTAATGAAGGTCTGTAGTTTGTTTGAGGTGCTCTGTGTGACGCACTGGCCAAGTCTCTGATTCGTATAGGAACACTGATTTCATATTGGAGTTGAAAATCCGGATGTTATTTTTGATGCTGAGTGGAGCTGTTGACCTCCACACAGACTTGAGAGTAGTGAAAGCCTGTCTTGCTTTTCCTGGCCTCACTTCGATGTCTTCGCCATTTCCGCCAGCCTGTAGTTGAAACGATTCTTCCTAGGTACGTGGGTAGGTCAAGGAGGTTGTTTCTTTCAGGTTCCCCCCATTTATGTTGATTGTTGTCTGTTGCTGTTGCTGATGATGTTGCTATTGGTATTGCCCAGAAATCTTCATCATCTCTGTTTTCTCTATGTTCACCTGAAGTGAAGTCCTATCTTTGATGCTTCTTCTGCCAACTTGTTGTTTTTCACATGCATCTCTTCCATTTTGTGGGAAATCAGGAAGTTAGGGTTTTCAAAAGCACAACTCATACACATTTTAATACAGGAGATTTTGAAAAGTGATTCTTTAAATCAGAATTTTATTTAAATAACTTAGAATTTTACCAACTGAAATCCTTTCTTAGTCCTACTTGTGGATATGGCTGCTATTCAGCTACCTGTTGCATATTGATCACCCGTATTTTCATAGTCGTATGCTCCCATCCAATCTCAAACTAGAACGAGATAACTGCCCAGTACTTTCTGGTTTTCTAATGGTTCTGTAACTGATGTCAGCTGGTGATCAAACATGTAACCAACCAAATCCCTGCAAAGCAACACTCGATAGACCTCTTTCTGCTGTGCTTTGAAGAAATTCAAAAAATATATTTTATATTTATCCAATGAATACTAAACTTATATCGTTCGATTATTAAGAACTGATCTATAATTAACCCATCACAGATATAATCCAGCTGTAAACAATTGTAGGTCTTAGAAGCCACGCTAGCAGAAAATGGTTACCCTAATCGATTTATTGACAGCAACATGAAATATAAGCAGTCTAATCTGGTCGCCGACTCAGTTCCAAAGAAAAGCTTATTCATGAACTTGGAATTCAAAGGTGATCTAGCTTCAGATATGCTCAAAAATCGTCTCTCTAAATCAGTCAGTAAGACGTTCTTTGCAGCAAAATTACATATGACGTTCACCAGCCACAAGTTGTTCTCTACGTCTGTAAAAGATAAGCTCCCCCGTCTGGCCGCCTCAATGTGCATCTATCAATTTACCTGATCTTGTGGAGCAAGGTACATCGCCCGTAGTCAGAGGACGCGTTCCACACGAATACGAGAACATATTCCAGAATGGTTTTACAAGGGAGAAAGGAAGTGCCTGCGGAGCTCTATTCTGGAACACCTGATCGACTTCTGTCACTCAGTCAACCCTGACCATAAGTTCAAGATCATATATAGAATCCATGCTAACTTCCCGCGTTTTCTTCGTTACAGACTTCTAAAGACAGCTGAGGCCTTGGCCATTCATGACTTTAAGCCAGACCTTTGTGTACAAAAGAAGTATGTACAATCCCTACTTTTGCCTTGCGCGCAGACGGATAGACATTTTTCAACTATTGGTTTTGTAGGGATTTTGTTTGATTGCATGGAAGATTTCATCATGAGCTGAGATCAGTTAGAGAACCACTGGAAAACCTGCAGGGAGTATCGGACAGCTGTTTCGTCCTAGTTTAGAACTCTTCATCAGTATGCAATCACCGGGTTTCGAACCCAGGACCTTCTGGTTACAAGGCGAGCTCGTAGACAATTGAGCCACTGTGACCCAATTACGAAATGTTCACGCTATGTCGTGAATTGGCAGAAGTTAGAATTCAAGAACCATTGGACCGGGTCCCATTGGCTCAGTGGTCTACGAGCCCGCTTTGTAACCAGAAGGCACTGGGCTCGAACCCCAGTGGTTGCGTACTGATGACGAGTCCCAAACTAGTACGAAACAAGTGTCCAGTACTCCCGGTGGGTTTTTCATTTTATATTTTATATTTTTATATTCGCCTACTAATCCTATAATTATGTACCCTTTTCTAAAATCTATACACCTTATGTATTATTCTATATATTGCATT